TTTTTGTTTCAAATCAGGGCTTGCCCGGCAAAGCATTTTCCATCTTAAACAGTAGATAAAAATCCTCCAAAGGGAAGGAATTCCTCCTGTTTCCACGTAAGGCAGGTTTCCGATCGCCCCCACACATGTGACACAACCCATGCTGTTCTTATCACTGATTCCGTGTGTACCCTCAGAAGGATCGAAAAAGGTTTCCTGAGATCAGAATGGATCGCTCACATGGATTTTCTGCCTTGGCCATGCAGGTGTTAGAGGAAATGGAAGGGCCGACAGATTGGCTGGTGAGGCCACCTTAGTTGACAATACGGTTCAACCAGATAGGGTCGAGATCCTGAAATGTCTCTCTCGCCAGCTGATTGAAGAGGAGGATAGGGAGGCAGAGGCCAGTACTGCCGTGGAGAGGATGATGCTTTTGGGAATAAAGAAAGGTAGCGGAAAATCTGGCATCCTTGCAGAGGAAAGAACAGAAGAACGTTCAACCAGATGTGCACTGGCACAATCAGTAGAGAGACCCTCGGCAACATTTTGGAGAGAGCAACGGAGCATCAATGGACATGTCCGGAGTGCAGGGATGTTGCTTCCTGAAACAAGTACAAGAACAAGAACCGATCGCTGATATCTTCCGCAGATCTGGCACTTGTGGTTTTGATGATGATTTTATGATCCAGTTAAACCGCCTGCTTAGGTGGACAAGCATGAAGTTGGCGGTATAACAGGATAGCACCAATTGCCGTCTTGACTAGTGGTAGACTGGTTGAGTAGAAACTTTTGAGACAAACTGCGGCCAGTCTTCAATCATCTTTCTGTCTCCAGCAATAATCATGCGCTGCGGAAAATCGAGTAGCTCCAGCTGAACTTCAGGTAAATTCGAATTGAAAATGTCTGCCAGATCAGAAGCTAAAAAAACTGATGTGTTGACGTACAGTTTTCAGGCCACCTATAACCTTTCACGTAGACTTGAGCGTGGGTCCTCATATAAATGTAAATGGTTCACGGGCGTCTGCCAACTTTTTGGTCATCAGGCAGATGTCTGGCAACTCCTGATATTTTGACGACAGACCGAGGTGACCGACAGACCTTTTAATTTTCTCCAGGCGACTTCAAAATGTAATTAGTATACATCAACAACACAATTGTGGTCTCTTACTAGTCTTAGTTGTGAAAAAGTGTATAATGCCAGAAAAAGACCCACTGAACACACAGAGAGCAGCAGCTCCTGTCGTCGTGAATAACTCGTTTAGCTGAGCCTCGAACCCCCAAACCTGTGTAACTTGATTACAGGTCCAGTTGGCAGGACACAAGACTGCTGACAGTAATAGGAATAGGATTACTGTAGGTGTGTATTGATGAAGCACATGTTGCTGCCTTTGCTCACTGAATTGGAGAGAAGCGATGGCATTACAATTTTTAGAGCTTTTCCAGGTGGTGTCAGTAGCCCAGTGGTTAGGCTACTGGACTTGTAATCGTGAGATTGTGGGTTTGGGGTTTTTATCCTCAGTTCGGTTTGTCGTTGGGTCCTTGGGAAAGGCTCTTCACCCGATTTTCCCATTTGGCTCGGTCCTTTCGGAGATGGATGTTAAAAAAACTCGGAGGTTCTGTTTCTTAAACTACCTACTTACTTCTATAGTATCAAGGGGAAGACCGCGAAGAACCTAGAGAAGAATCACAGAAATATATATATATGTACAGAAAAGTGGGAAGACATGGAAAAACATCAAGAGGCTAGCTCATGATATAAAGAAAGGTGGAACGTGTTTGTTTGTGGGCTATACATACCCTGATGCAGGGTGAGAAAGGCAGTGATGATGATGATACTTAACAGTGTTGATAGGGGCATTAAACCTATACACCACTATACCAATTCAGAGGCAGCATGGGAAATCAGACGCTCGTCAAAATACAGAAATCAGAGGAACAGGCATTTTTTCTGAAAGGGGCTGTTCAAATATAATCTTACACCTTTTTGGGACTTTTTGACACCCCCCCCCCCCAACAAATGTTCTTTAAAAAGCATACCCCCCCCCCCCCCCCCCCCCCCCCTAGTAATATTACATTGTTCGTTCTTATAATACTAATAATAGGGCATTTATATCTCACAAATCCGTGTTACAATCATTGTTCTATGCGCTTTACATAAAATTAACGAAGGACATGAATATGTTCAGCGCAATTTACAGATCGTCGCGATCGTATTATAATTGCGCTGCACATTTTAACTATCGTATAATTCACTTCCATCTCTCTATTCTGTCCCTGTCGTTTTATGCAAGAAAAATTCTGAAATTAGGCAAACTGAGCCCAAAAATGTGAAATTAATTTTAACAAAGAATGATAAAGGAAAATATTCAGAAATTATGCAAAAAATGATCAAATTTTGCTCAATTATGCGGGGTGCATAAAACTACGGGGACAGTCTATTCTTTTACTCACATCAAAGAACATTCACATATTTTTTCAAAAGTGCAAAAATATCAAAACTAAAATTAAAATTAGAATTAGACATGAAACTGAAGAGCTCACAAGAATGACACAATTATTATATAATCGTTAAAACACGCAGTGCAATCTTAAAATTGCCAGACTATCTTAAGATTGCCACACCATACGATAGTTAAAACGTGCAGCGCAAACTTAATTAAGATTGGTAAATTGCGCGGAACACATACACAGATATCCTACGTATGCACATAATAGTATCAAGTTCTACATATTACTAAAAAATAACAGAGTAGATCATTCAAGCAAAATATTGCATACACTCTTTCTCACTAATAATAAGGAAAACATTGAGACTCGTGTCAATTTCAAAAGTGCCTTAATTACAAATAAAACAAATTACAGCGGAATTCGGGATAGAAAAAAAGTGTTGACTTTGAGCAAGGTTGACTTTATCCTTTGTACTACTCGCCATTGAAAATTGAAGATGACAGCTACACAATTACAAAGTAGGCCTACCTGGTAACAAGATGTTAGCTCCATTTCAGTGAGTGTAATTTTGACGTTGTCACCAAACAAGAGATAGTGAGTGAATAAAATAATTGGAGGTGTATACACCACTAGCTCAGGACCTAAATATCTCTTCTTAAATAAATGAATTCATCATGGGATTCAGCCCCAAATTGTTGACTTTACGCAAGGTTAAAACTCAAGCAGTTGACTATACATGTATCAGAAACACAATTGCTTAATTAAACAAAGAAGGTAAGAAACGGGACCTCAGTGACTGTAAGCAAAAGTTGACTTTATCAGGATTCCACTGCATCTGTTATACTGATCTTTATGCTTAAAACAAAAAGTGAAATCAGTTATCATCAACAAAGGCAGTGTTCATCATTTTGTCAAAAATTTTTTTTTAAAAAACAGGGGCATCTGCAGAGCTGTCGTTAAATATGGGTCCTGTTCTAACTTCCTCCTCTGTCTCCTCTTCCTCATCTTCTTCCTCCACCTCCATTACTTCCTGTGTAAAGCCCTGTGCCTCTTCAATGTTGCAATACAGTGGAAACCTGATATAACAGGGATGGTGGGAGTAGAGAAAATGTCCTGTTAAATCAGAAATGCAAGGAAAGTAAGCATTTGTGGACTAATCCAGCTGTACTTATTCATGGATAGTTTCCTTAGCCACAAGTACCCACGAATAGGGGTTTTGGCTCCAACTTTCTCCTTAAACTTAAATCACATCAGAAGAGCTTGGTCCACAGCAGCCGCATCGGGTAGTCTCATCTTCTTTCGATCCAGAGCAAACTTTCCATTGGACGAGTATGCTGCCACTATCTTCTCTCTATCCTTGATAATGGTGTGAATCGACCCTTGTGGAATGTCGAACTGACGACAAATTTCTGCCAGTGGAGCTTGCTTTTTGTCAACAGTCTGGATTATTTTGTATTTTTTTGTCAATTGAAAGGCATTTTCTCTTACGTTTGACATCGTTGGTGACAGTAGACACATTACGCGTTCGTGTTGCTAGGTTTCGGGCTAGATCGAGGTTTGCAGCACACCTCAACCCTCTCTCGCTTCACACGCTGCGTGTGCTTGCAGAGGCATGGCTTGCATGGGCTTGCTCCATCCCTTCGTTACTCTCTCTCTCTCTCTCTCTCTCTTACTTTTTACACATTATTAACGAGCCTCTGTCCCTGCTATAACCGGTTGGGCTCCGACGAGGCCCTGTTATTGCCGATAACTTTTAATAGAGACAAAGAGTAGGAAAAATCGGGGATTTAAAAAATCCCTGTTATTACCGGATCCCTGTTATTACCGGGCCTGTTATATTTGGTTTCCACTGTACTTGGAAAATATTTTCCACCTTCCTTGTGGCCTCTGCACACCATGCAGCCTTTCTTGACCAAGGCCACACTATTTCTCCTTATTTTTTCACCTCACAAAAATGTAATATTACATTGGTTCAAGACCCCCCCCCCCCTTTCTTACACTTACACTTTTCTTACAGGAGCCAAAGACACTCCCCTCCAGGTGTAAGATTATACTTGAACAGCCCCAAAGTTTGGAAATTTTCATTGAATTTTTATTTTTGTGCTCAACCACTTTTATGTCTCTATTAAAAACACATTTCCATGTGAATTTTACCGAGAAACATTGAAGCTAGGTACAGAATATATCATTTTTCTGTTTTCAAGGACTCTTTTAGCTAGAGTTAATAAAATTTGGCGGCCATTTTCTCACTGATTTCACCTCCGAAACCAGGCGACCTCACTTCCTTCACTCGCAAATATCTCGAGTCTCGAGTTCTATTCAAAACAGATGGATACCATGTTTGTTTCATTGAAATAAATGCAAATAAATAAGCTTTTAGGCGATACCAATAACTCCACATGCCCAAAAATTGACGAGTGCCTGATTCCACCGCGTGGTGATACAATTCACCATTTTCACCTGATTTTCCATATCTGGAAAAATATATTCCAGGTTTGTCTATGTTTTTTTTTTTTAACCTTTTCTCTCTATGGCAAATTTGATGTGTGGGGTTTTGTCCTCTTTGTTGGCAGGTCTTCCACCTATCATCAAGAACTTTTATGAAGAAGCTGAACATATTGCCAACATGTGTGCCGAGGAAGCCAGACAGATCAGGTTTGTATGCTTTTGTTTTTTTAATTATATATTTTTCCTTTATAATGTAGGTACTTTTTCTTCTGGAAATTGCTTTCCTCCTACTCCCTCTCAATATTCTCATTTTCATGTCTCGGGTAATGCAGGAAGAGTGACAGTTAAGACTGGTCAGCCACAATTTTCTTGAGTTTGTTTTCCTGATCTACTTGCCAAATTACAGTTCCAACTTTTGTATAGGCTAATATATTTATTTTTGTATTTCCCTGGGAAATGCTAATGCTGTAGGCATCACATGCATGCATGCATGATGTATTCCAAAAACAAACCAGAGTGCTCATTTTCAACTTCATCGGTGTCACTGATTTGCTTTTTAATGAACATTTTTTTTATTCAAAACTAATTTTCGGGTTTAAAACTCTTTCATTTAAGTACACAATGTATATAATGATACCAGTAGGCCTACAATCCGTGACGGCTTTAAACACGCTTCGGACTCAAAGCACGCTAAACGGCTCTTATCGAATATTTGCTATAAATAAATTACACCCCTTTAAGCACAGTAAGTTAGGCTTCAGGCACTCTTCGTTTGCAAGACAGTCAATGCTTCCATGATGACCCTTCGAAGTTCGAACACAGTTTACGCTGCAGCAGTGAGTGTGTTGACTTAAGAGAAACACAAAGAACGCAAGTGATGGAGATACACACGCGCGGAGAGAAGGGCAGAGAGATGTAACAGTCGCGGGCGCGGACTTCGGATCTAGCCAAAGGCAAAGCTACACACAGATGCAAGAAAATACAAAGAGAGTCGAGGAGATGAGAAAGGGAGGCTGGCTGTGATTTCACCTTTGCCCCTTGCTATCTTTTAATCCTAATTATGTATCACGCGCGAGGTGGAATGAAGGCGGTGGTATGAATGTGGCACAGCAGGCAGTGATACGCACAGGCAGTGTGTAGGCCTAGTGTGCTGTATCGTGACTGGCCGTCTAAATTAAGTTTTCCTTTCCCAACCGAACACAAAACAAAGAAACAAACAAACAAAAACTGCTGTGGCGGGTAAAAATGATAGCGCACACTTTTGCAAGACCACGACTTACGAGCAAAAGGAAATACCTCAGGAAATTTTGAACATGAAAATCTCTGGATTATTTCTACCCGCAATTAAGCACGCTTATACTTTCTCTCAGTGACCATGCTTAAAGCATGGACTGTACTTACAATGTGTTCCTACTGAAAAGCATTGTGTAGTATATACATATATATATCTAATAATTGTGTCCTGCCTTAATGAGTTAGCATGAAATTTTTATGGATTTGCTTGCCCCCGTCTGCAGTCAGCAATAATGCTTAATAATTCATGGTAATAGCTTAATACAGTCAAACCTGCCCTGACGGCCACCTCTATAAGACGGCCACCTGCACAAACGGCCACTTTCCATTTCCCCCCTTGCGTTTTTTCTATATAATTTAACTGTGTAAAACAGGCACCTGTCCAACGCGGACGCGGCCACCATTTTTTAACACACAACCTCTATCACACTAAGCAATAATACCTGTCTTAGACGGCCACCTTTGTGACTCCATTACGTTTTGTCATAAGTTGTGCATTGGCCCCTGGCGTTGTGGGCGAGCCGTCATAATTCAATCACCTGTCGTTGCTGTTAGGTAGTCCCTCCAACCGATCATGTTGTATGACCGTCTGGTTAAATATTTGACACATGATCTTTTTCTTTATTCTGGGCACCACTTCCCATATAATTAAAAAAAAATTGTGTCTCATTATGCTTGTAATTTATTTAACTGATGTCTGTATTTCTTTCGACAGGAGAGAAAACAACAACATCATTGTGGATGGCCCGGAAGGAGGCGCGGAAACTGTTCCCCACCCTATCAGAACATTTGAGGACGCGTTTGAGCCGCATCGTAAGGAAACCGTCTTTTACCTTTATTGTACGATGGGCTGAGATGCAAAACCCGCTACATCCATTTTATTTTGAAAAAAAAAAAAAGGCTTTTTAAAAAAAATGCTGCTATACGAACGAACGAGCGAGAAAAGATTTTTGTGTGGCTTTTATGAAATGTTGGGTTTTGGCCAGAAACACTTTGTGCATCTGATAACCGGTAACAATGTGCTTAAGCAAAATATCTCGATTTTTTTCCGAAACGTCACTTAGCGTGTTTTGGTCATTTCCTGCTCTTTCTCAGTGCTAGTATCTTCATCATCTATGCATCCATTAACATTCCAGTGGGAATAGAGACTAAATGAGGGAATTTTCCCCAGCTCCCCTTTCATTTGGCATGCAGGATGTACTGTTACTTAAATGGTGGTTGTGGGGCAGGGATGAAAGCGCTAAATTTTCGTGTTATAAAATAAAAATTTAGTTTGCTATGCAAGGAGTATGTACTAGTTTATGACTTCAGTACTGGGAAACAATATATCATGCGCATAATACTGTTTTGGGAGTCCTAAAAACGAAAAGTAAATGCAGTTTTCTATGAAAAGGGTGAGGTATTTGGTGAACTTTACCACTGAAGTGACTATAATAGTCTCCTGGCAGCGCTCCTTTCAGGGTGAGCTATGAGAATATGCTTTTTGAAAAAGTTTTTAAACCTCCTGTCTGATTTTCTACTCCTAGTACCTGTTTTTAAAATAGTTTAGTTTAAACTAATTATTTTTTGCGCCCCCCACACAGCTTTGATACTGGAACAGATCTATCAACAGAACTTTGTGAAGCCATCTCCCATTCAGGTATGTAGTGCCATGCTCGCTGTTGTCTCATGTTATAATTTTATTTTGTTCTATGTATTTCTGCCCTAGACAGTTGTTCTCCAGCCATTTTTACATTTGTGGGCCGATATGGACAATTGCTGCTTTTAATGGGAAAGCATAGTGTGAGAGTAGTTTATCACTCAGTTTTTGAAGATGGCAAGGGTGGTTTTTAAATTCAATTATCACTCTTGCAGTATTTGGAATGAATCAGTTTGGGTTCTGAATGCCTCAGTATGCTGTTGTCTTAAATTTGTTCTTTAATTTGCAATTAGTTGCAACATCTAACAACAAATACGGTCCATGCCGGCTTTAAGCACGGTCATTGGGAGAAAGCATAAAAGCGTGCTTGTGTGCGAAGTAGACATTGTCATAATCCAGAGATTTTGATGTAGAAAATTTCCGGAGTTATTTCCCTTCGTTTGTAAGAAATGATCGCGCAAAAGTGTGCGCTGTCATTTTTACCCGCCATGGTAGTTTTTATTTGTTTGTTTCTTTTGTTTTATGGACTGCCCGCTGTGCCACTGTGCCACATTCATACCACCGCCTTAAAATTCATCCCACCTCGCACGTGATACATTATCAGGATTATCGGATTCCGATAGCGAGGGGCAAAGATGAAATCGCAGCCAGCCTCCCTTTCTCTTCTCCCAGACTCTCTTTGTATTTTTTTTGTCCGTGTGTAGCTTTGCCGAAGGGTGTGCATGTGTGTGTGTGTCTCCATCACTTGCTGTCTTTGTGTTTCTCTTAAGTTAACACACTCACTGCTGCGGTGTAGATTGTTCTAACTTCGATGGGTCATAGTCATCATATTGACTGTCTTGTAAATGAATCATGCCCGAAGCCGAAGTTACCTTGCTTAAAGGCGTGTGATTTATATAGCAAAAATTCGGTAAGAGACGTTTATCGTGCTTGAGTCAGAAACGTGTTTAAGGGCGAAAACATAGAGAACGCCGATTTCGGAGACTGACTCAGTAAGCGCCGATAGGTATAAAAATTCCCTTATGATTTCCAACTTGCCCCACATAGAGCTGGCCGACTGCAGACGGCTTTAAACTCGGATCGGAGTTGTCGGCTTAATCGGAATCCAAACTACATTCTTATTACGCCGAAAAAGTGGGAAGGGCGTCTCGCTGTCAACTCGCGACCGCAGTGCTTTCTTGTCGTATTTCCATTTTTTAAACAGTGAAAATGAGACTTCTTCTTTAACTCACTCTTTGTTATGAACTGTTTTCACTGTTATTAAAAATAGGGGTACGACAAGAAAACACTGAGGTCGCGAATTCTCAATGCCGTCTCGCTGTCTCGCCGTCGCCAACTCGGGTTCAGCGGTTTGTGTGACGTCACTTGACTGGACTGGGGACAATTTTAAATGGTCATTTCAGAGCTGGTGCTTCACGGTAGACAAAAACTAATTACATTTTTTAAATCAGCATCGTCAAATTAGGGTGGTCTCCGAGCAGAATTACATTTTAAGCGATATTTAAGAAAAATAGTGCTTTTCCTAAAAAAATTTAGCTTCATCAATACCAGCTGTGTTGTGGTGTAATTATTTTTTTTCTCTTAGATTTAGATATCTAGGCTTTACTGTGTCAGTAGAGTGTGTGATTTTGAAGAGACGAGGCCTGTGTAGTTTTCCGTTGTGCGTCTAGAGATCTACTTATCTGGCTGTGTCGTGTCTTGTCAAAATGGATGTCGAATTACAATAATAATAATAGTAATAATAATAATAATAATAATAATAATAATAATAATAATAATAATGAAGATCATTTCTATAGCGCCCACTCCCGTGTAAACACAGCTCTAGGCGCTTTACAAAAATACATATACTAACAATATTTACGCACGCGACACAAACACAAAAATACTCACACTCATACACACACGCAAACACACACACATACACACATACATACACACATACACCCACACAAACACACATACACACTCACAAACACATAGCAGTAACACGCACACATGTGCACACACATGTACGCCACACACACACACACACACACACACACACACACACACACACACACACACACTCACACAAACACACGCACGCACACATCTACTTGCTTATCACACGCGCACGCTTACACATCGTCACGAAATGAGCATAAAATGCAATGCAATTCACAAAATACAAAAATGGATACATAGTCATTTACATAACATTGTATTGAACATGAATCTACAGACCAAAAAAAGATGTCATTAAATGTGTCTTTAAATATTTAAAAAAATTTAGACTCAGATGTTGTATGTCTCAAGGGTTGGGAAAGAGAGTTCCAAACTGACGGAGCAAGGTGGGCGAATGATCTTTCAGCTAATTTTTTACCCCCTTTTCTAGGAACTCTTAGAAGATACTGATCGTCTGATCTTAGTGATCTAGATGGAACATAAATCAGGATGAGATCACTAAGATATGAGGGAGCTTTGTTATTGACACATTTATGACATAATATTGCAATTTTATACATTCTAGCTGACACGGGAAGATAATCTCTCTCCTCTCTCTCTCCCTCCCTCCCTCTGTCTCTCTCCTTCTCCCTCTCCCTCCATCTCCCCCTCTCTCTCTCCCTCCCTCCCTCTCTCCCTCCCTCTCTCTCTCCCTCTCCCCCTCCCCCTCCCCCTCTTTCCCTCTCTCTCTTCATCTCTCTCCCTCTATCTCCCCTCTCTCTCTCCCTCCCCCTCTAAGAAAATTAATTCCATCTTTTTAGACAACAAACATCCCTTGTTCCCTCAAATAAAAACAATAGTCAGAAGTAAAAGACCTGTGCTTCTGATCTGTAACAAAGAAAGATACAGAAGGTCATTTTTACCATCATCTATCAAAATGCTTCCATCTTAACCATCTTGTATAAGTATACTTACGACCTTAGAGCATGCATCAAAATAACATTGAGTGTGTATCTAGCTTACGATTTTTATTGTTTATATTGCTGCTCATTTATATTATGCATGTGATTGTAAGCCAACCTGTGTGTGCATGTGTGTGTACGTGTGTGTGTTTGTGTGTGTGCGTGTGTGTGTGTGTGTACGTGTGTGTGTGTACTCGTGGTGGAACACCAAACCAATGTGCCAGGATCTGGACAATAAAGATGTATCTTATCTTATCTTATCTTATCTTATCTCCTCCTCTCCCTCTCCCCCTCTCGGATGACGAGTCTATTCTGGTCAATTTGTAATCACTCAAGACCTAGAACTAGATTCTAGATACGGTAGATGTAGGCAGACTAGACAACAGTAGATCAATGCAACGCGAACTTAGAGGGATCGGCAATAGGCGCCCTCTATGTGGAGTCAAGCAGACACCGACTGGCGCCTGGCGGCGTCGATTTTCAGCCGCTTAAGTTTGGGCGTTCTTTATGTTATCGCCCTTTTACTGGTGTGTTTAAAGCCGGCACAGACTGTGGAGTATATCACCATTTTGTGTTGGGGATGAGAATGTAAACAAATGATTGCTCCCAGAGGAGGTAATGTATTTTTTAAAATGCGTAACACACACTTTAAAACTTTCTTCTTTGAAAAAGAGGGGCCACATTTTTGTTTCATTGACATCTTTTTTCTTTTCTTTCAGTCTCAAGCCTGGCCGATATTGCTGAAGGGACATGACCTCATCGGGATTGCTCAAGTAAGGCTCGGTTTATGTTTGAAGCAACAATTAAGTTAATAAAATGGAAAGTCGTATTTATACCAGTGAGATTTGCATCTCTTCATCTATAATATGGAAGAATGACTGAAAGTACCTACACAGTGCCGATAATTATTTTTTGAAAATGATAATTTTGTGACTTTTATAATTCGTAGGTATAATGGGTTTGTATGTGTGTGTGTAAAAATATTTTAAAATGTTACAGATGATAGATCTTGATTTTTATGTACAGTTGGAGGAAGCCATGATTCAGGTCAAGGAAGTACTGCAATGGGACAGTTGTGCAAGTCAAGCATGTAATGTTGTGTTTAGAAAAATGTTATGCTGAACTTTTGGTCAGGCACATTTCCTTATGTAACTGCATAGGCTGCAGCACATGTTTTAGCACAAGTTACACTTACTTTACCGTTCGGCGCTCTGATCACACTCAAGTTCAAATCTTGAGAATCACGGGGTCAAGCTCTTGGCACCTATGTTTAGTTTGGGTAGCAGCTTGTGTGATATGAAATTGTAAATTTTATTTTTAAAGAAAAACACCACTTAATAAGTGACTATAACCATTGGAATAGGCTTGATGGTCAGTTAAAAATTCCCTAAATATTCAGGTGTTTCCACAAAATATCAAATGTTTAACAAGGATTGTAGATTTTCACATCTGCATCTTCATTTGTTTAATCACTCACTTGGATTAATCCCTGTATGTTTTATTGCAGACTGGCACTGGGAAGACCTTGGCCTTTTTGCTTCCTGCCCTCATTCACATCGATAATCAGCCTGTGTAAGTTGCTGAGAGATTTTCCTACTGTGTGTTTTCTTATGCTGTGTGCTATTGCGTTTTAGAAAAATACGAAAAGTGGGAAAAAATACGAAAATACTATGGGTGCAACTTTTCAAGAAGAAAGTTCATGATGTTAAGAGAAAGTTGGTAAATTTGCCACAAGAAAAGGCTTTATCTTTCGAACATATGAATATTTGCAAAAACATCTTTAGCACTCATATGACTTATTTGTTTTGCAAGTGCTATAAAACTCATTTTAAAAGTAAAATACTTACTGTGGCATAGAGTCAAATGAGCAACGCTGGAAATTTGTACTGTTTGACAGGGATGTAGGAAAAGAGGCAACCCAGCCTTGCTCCCCTTTTGGTATTTGGTTTTTGGTTTTTCAAATCAAGTAACGTGCGGGAGGTTGGAGGGCGCAACTGGTAGGTCCTACTTCTTTTACTTTCCCTCTATTTCTGTCTGTGTGTCTTACTTTTTCCCTGCACTAAATGACCATTATTGTGTCGATGTGCTTCTCTTTACTCAAACAAATCAAATAATGTGTGTTCCACAGGCCCAGATCAGAAAGGAGGGGTCCTTCTGCCTTAATCTTGTCGCCTACTCGCGAGCTTGCTCAACAGATTGAAAAGGAAATCAACAAAATCAATTACAAAGGGATCCGGAGGTAATTTTGCTAGTGGCGAGTCTGTAACTCACTCATTCCAACGGTGTCCCGTGTTTTTGTTTCATTATTTTGAATGTTCCTTGTCTCAAATTTTGAAAATACAATATAAACTTAGTATTAAGTAATTGTGGTATTTGATCGTCATTTTAATGTTGGTTGATTAAAAAAAATTGTATTTATCTTTATCTTCTTTAGAGTGAACCTTCAATTTGCACGACAGTTGCTATTCTGGAATAGATAATTTGTTTTGATTCTGAAGTTCTTTAAGAGGAAAAGTAGAACAGCATTGAATCAGGTCAGGGTTCAAGACTTCAAACACTGACAATTGGTGGACATCTAACTTTCAGGCATTTTCTGTCACCCTGTTGACTATTTGGTCGCTTTTAAGGACAGGCGGGCTAACCCAGATGTCGGGGGTTTCCAGAAATCTTGACGTACACCAAAAGCGGGCATTGCTCTACCTATAGGAAGTTTGGTTTCATTGGTGTGTATATTTGTTTGGTTATGGAGAAGACTTTCCTTGTCTTTTAACAAGGGGCAAAAACTTTACCTTCGATTTTCTCAAAACATCATTTTTCAGGATAGCCCCCTTGTGCTTAAAAGCGACCATTTTTATGTTTGCCTTCTTGCAAGCTCATATCTTTCAATAGATTCTGTTCTCTCTGTCAGTGTCATACTGGACCGTGGCAAGGGCTAGAATTCCCAAGGAACCAGACATTCTTGAACCAGATTTATTATTTGGTGGGCGTCTTGGTTCTTCATCCTCTTGGCTTGGCCCCTAGTTGTGATGGTTTAAGTCTGAAGTCCCTCATCTTAAAAATAATACTGGGTTTTGTGTTGAAACCCATACCAAACTGCACTGATAATATCCTGTACTAGGAAAAACCTCAAAAAAACCACCTCAACACAAGAAATATACTTCTTTTTTTTACACAATCTTTTTTGTGTGATTTTTCTCAAATTATTGGACTCCTTGCACCTTCAATAGTTTGACCCTTTTTGAGCCATACTGTCGTAAACCGGCCTTCTCGTCATGTTGCCATACCGGCTTTTACCGGCCTTCCCGCTGTAGAGTCATACCGACTTTAACTGGCCTGACACCCAGCCTTTAATGTAGGCTTAAGAAAAGAACATTTCACTTTAAATCTAGATGCTGAGGTCCTAGGTCTTTGTAGCAAAATTTTAATTAAAATATGTCGCTTCAATCAAAAGTAAAAATATGTCGCTTACTTCAAAAGTAAAAGCAATCTCTTTGCTACTCCCCCTAAACCTCTGAAAAACACTGAAATAGTTCAGTTCTGGGAAGCCATCAGCTGGCCGCCTTTTTGGTTCTGCTGTGTTGACTTTCTGACCTATTTATGGTGCTAAGAGAGTTAAAGAAAAGAACATATTCTAAAATTACACCCATGCCTGATTATGAGTTTCTGCTGTGTTGACCTTCTGACCTATTTATGGTGCTAAGAGAGTTAAACAAAGAAAAGAACATATTCTAAAATTACACCCATGCCTGATTATGAGTTTCTGTTCTTTAAAGTCGTATATGTGGGTGGTGGGCGGGTGCTCTGGTGTGGTTTGCTTCTTTCCTATGAAACATCTATCATTCTTATCCCCCCCCCCCCCTTCTTTTTTATGTTTGTTACTCTCTTGTAACATCTCTAATTTTCTGGCACTCATATGACCGTATGCAGTTGCGAGCGTGGTAAAACCTCAACTAAAACTAAACTAAACGAAGTCGTATATCATGTAATCATAATTTTGTTGTTTTGACTGTACGCAGTATCTGTGTGTATGGAGGTGGAGACAGGCGGGAACAACTGCGCAGAGTGAAGCAAGGCGTGGAGATAGTTGTGGCCACACCTGGCCGACTCAACGACTTCATGATGAATGGAATCATCAACGTGACCAATGTCACTTATCTGGTAGGTCAGGCCTTGTCTGCACTGTCACTTGACAAATGACCATCATCTACTTGGCTAATGTCACTTATCTGGTAGGTCAGGTCTTGTCTGTGTGACCATCATCAATGTGACTAATGTCACTTATCTGGTAAGTCAGGCCTTGAGAAGTGACATGGAGGTCTATAATATAATAATAATAATATATAGCATTTATATAGCGCATTTCCAAAAAAAGGTAGCTCAATGCGCTTTACATTGGAATACCCAATTTCAAAACCTTTCTTATTTCTTCCTTTCTTCTGATGCAATATATATTTATGCACACACACGCGCGCACGCACACACACACACACACACACACACACACACACATGCACACACAGACTATGTTGTTGACCTACCTGCAGCTTTGTACATTTCCCCTCCTTATTGCTGTGGGAATGGGGGAAAAAAACCCACTACTTCTCTCTCTCTCTCTCTCTCTCTCTCTCTCTTCTGGCGCTGTGGTGTCATAAACGGTCATTTGCTACACCATTTGGCAGATTCAAGTTACTCAGGCTGCTATTCGGAATCAAGTCAGCTCCTGAAGTCTTCCAGAAAATAATGTACAGATTTTTTGGAGATATTGAAGGTGTTGTGAGCTAAGAAGATGACCTTTGCATCTGGAGCCAGTCAATAGAAGAACATTCAGGGATGCCACTTTTCCGCTTTTGTTCAGTATTTTGATCCTGATCCGCTTTTCCGTTATTGAAATTGAGATGGAATCTATAGTTGAAAAAAAAAAAGTACACTCTTTAGGTTTCAAATTGATTATATTCATATGTTAGCGAGACCGTGGCGGGTAGATTTTCAGCTATTTAAAAAAAAGTTGAGTGGCATCCCTGAACATTGTAAACGATTGCGCCAAGTCTTGCATAGAGCAAGAGAAAACAAAGTTCAACAAAACAAAACGCGAATTCTTCAGGACAGAACTGAAGTATCTTGGACCTACTCACCGAAACAGAAGTAAAAACGGGTCCATTAAAGGTGACAGCCATAAAAAACATGCCTGCACCACAAAGAATAGACAAGATCTGAAATACTGAGATCCCTTTATTTATAAACAAGTGGGTCATGTTACGACATATTACGACATACTTGTGTTACTTACAACATAGATGGCCAATTCGGTCTAAGCTATTATTGTGCTCTCGTGACAGGTAGGTGGTTTGTGGTTACTAACACGTTACACCGTAAGGGCCTGGACGGGAAGACCATTCCTAGATCCTAAGCAAGGGGAAGGAACCCACCTCCCGTGAATACATGCGTTAAAAAAACACATTTAAAAAATACTAAACAAATTTTTAAAATCTTGAAAAAATAAAAGTTAAAAAGAAAACTGAATGTAGTTTCAGAAAAATATAACTTTATGTATGCACAAATTGTTGGAAATTTTCTAACTTTTGTTCAATCGGGGTGTCTGACCCGTCACTCTCACTCTCAGCCTCACGGTCGGGCCCAAGATCTAAATTATAGATTTTCTACGTCTGATCGATCTGAATCGCCCCAAACTCTTGCTACAAGTTTTCATCAAAATCTGAGCCATCGGATTTGTCACATGCTTGTTTTTGCTCAAATCCATCGTTATTTCCAAACTCAAATGTGTCGCTTTTCAACAAGTCGAGACACTTTCGAAGTGTTGGTAACGCGATGGCACTTCGACCAGCTCTAATACTAAAACTACTGGCCCGAAAAATTTTGTTTCGGTATCAAAAGAAAAAAGAAACTTTTTGCTATGACTATGCAAATCAAAATCTCGGCCCCAGAGTCTCATCAAGGCGAGACTTCGTTTCTAAAGACGCTTGATCGACGCGGGCGAGTCAGGGTGGAGTGCATTAGGGAATTCCCGGGCGAGTTAGGGTGTAATGTGTTAAATTCTTATGCCATCTATCGTGGCATAGTTGGCTGCAAAAATTGAACTTCTAGAAGACAACAGTTTGAATGTAAGTGGGATCTGAAGATTTCCTGTCTTTGTTGGATTTGAAAAATTCATGAACTGACAAACAAAATTTGCACAAATGACGATAGCTCACATCAATCAATTGTATAAATGCTGTTGAATCAAGTTGTACTCTCTCTTCATTTGGTGCTAGGTCATGGATGAAGCGGACCGAATGCTGGATATGGGCTTTGAGGTTGAAATAAAGAAAGTGATGCTGGACATCCGACCTGACAGGCAGACTGTCATGACTAGGTTTGTTCTTAGAAGCCCCTGTTTTGCATGTATGCAACACTGTAATTCATTTACAAACTCATGCTTCCTGAACTGAAAACTGTCCCTTTTTTAATGCTTGATAAAATGGGTTGAGGGTTCACGTGTGGACATTCAAAATTTAAACAGATTTTTAAAATTAACGTATTTCATACTTTTTAAAATACCTATTGTGCTTCTTTGGGGTCAGTAAAATATTTCTTGAGTTTTTCAGGTGTACATTTCAGAGTTAAACGAAATAAAACGTTACATCATTTTTCTGTTTAACATGCACAGCCTTTGCTTTGCAAGAAAATTTAGCTCTCCAAAGCTCACAGTGTACATTGAATAATGTGAATAATGAAGTGATGTCAGAAAATGACATGTTACATTTACTTTAAAATTTAATAATAATGGCTATTTTCTACCTACATGCCTTCTGTCTACTTTATGTTGAGTTGATATGGAAGGGACATGGAGAAAACCTGAAAAATCTTACTTTTGAAAACAGCTGATCAGTTTTACGCATTGTTTTCAAGGGGGTGTGAAAAAAAGGCATGGTTAGGATTGATAGAAAATAATTTGACCAGTGTTCGTTTCGGACAGTTTCATTGTATGTGTCTGGCTTCATAATTTCAAACCATTTGCACGCTCTGACTTCATTTTGATTTCCCAAACTCTCAAGTGTGCTCCCTGCTCCCTTTGAGTTATGATTACTGTATCAAGTTCATGACAAGTCATGATGGTACGGTCTAATGATTAATATTGACGAGATTATTTTAAAAAAACTTGGATAAATGTACAAATCATTGGTATACTTTGATTATCTGTTCATATGAATCTCTTCTTTTCAGTGCCACTTGGCCGCCAGAGGTGCAAAGGTTAGCTGATCGGTACATGAAGTCTCCAATCAAGGCTTTCGTCGGAACTCTTGATTTGGCCGTGAGTCTCTTCCCGATCTTCTTCTGCTTATCGATGGAGTTATGCTCTTACCATGAAACTGCAAGAAATTATGTGAACTTCTTTTTTGTTCTACACGTAAAACCATGTCAGGGGTTGATATGTGGGCCCTTAATAAAAATCAGGGAGTAAGTAAGCACTGTAAATTAAAACTGTATAAAAGTATTGTGGGCTAACTTTTGTGTCTATTGTCATCATTTAAATCAGAACGGTTTTCTTTGCCTAGTGAAAAAGTTTCACGAAACCTGTTTCAAGGTTAGGACATAACACCATCGTTTTGTTTTAGTCTGTGTACTGTGTACTGATGCCCAGCAGACCAAGAGTTGGAGAATTTTTTTCTTATACTGATAGCAAAAACTCACATTTAAAAAAACTGATATTGCAATCAGTGTAGTACAAAATGTAGTCTGAGAGAATACTTAATTTTGTTGTTGTTGAAGGGGGAGGGGGGGGGGCAGTCTGGTCTGACATGTTTGTGACTTCCATGAATGTCCTGAATTATTTAAATAACCCCTTTAATGTATTTTTCAATTTGGAAATGGTGAGTCCCTTGCTCTTGGGGATAACAGATATCTCTCCCTGTTCTCTTTACAGGTTATGTGTGTATACTGAAATATACAGCAAATATCATGCACCTGTAAAACTGCTTGGGTCATGGGAATGGGCAGGACAAAAAATTTCTTTTGACAATGTAAATGAAACTGAACTTACCAAAACTTAAAAAATAAATTTGTCATTTTTCAGGCAGTACACAGTGTTCGCCAGTGTGTGGAAATTATCGAGGAAACTGAGAAGAAGAGCATGGTATGTAGCATTTTTTGTTTAATTTTTCACTGTTAACTTGGTTTCAGTATCTTGTCTAGTTCTAGATTTGTTTGAAGTCAATTATTATACATCATTTAGGTCTGTAAGGGATATAAGTATGAATTTTTCTAGTTTTGTAGATGGGTCATACAGGCCGAAGGGCTAGAACCCAAATGGTCGCTAGATCGGAAAAGTAAAGTAAAGTAGATGGGTCGTTGGCTCCTTCAATTTGACTTGATAATGCCTTTTCAGCAAGCCAAATAAAATTTTTTGGGTGAAGTTTAAGTTGATGGGGACAACGTTCAGATCATTTAGGACGGGATGCTGTTTTGACCCTGTCTAATGATGTATTGGGGAATAGCTTGTAACTGCGTACAAATGTTGATATTCTTCTATTAGATTGTCTTATTTTATCTTATCATATGTTGATAGACATTCTTCTGTTAGAATGGAATGTTGGAGTGACTTTGCTTAGTTTTCTTGAAAACGATTGAGATCTAATCCTTAGTTGGGCCCTTTTGTCTTGATCAGGTGTCTTTCTTTTGCATAATTGAAGCTTATGTCCCTCTTTGGAACAAAAAAAAAAAAGAACTTGCCCCACCACCACCACCACTTCAATTAGGCGTTATAATCTCTAACAGGTCATAAATCGGCTAAAATAGGGAAATGTGGTGTGGTCCAGAAACTCCCCAACATAATGTAGAAATTCGCGTTAGCCTGCTAGCTGTTTATCTTGACAGAGACTGCTGTATGTGTGTATCACTATGTATGTACGTGGTATTTGGTTATAAAGCCATGAGGCCAAGAGCAGCTTGATTAATAAGAAAAACAATGTAACATTGCTAACTACATTATATTAGTGGGTGGTTGGCGGGTGCTCTGGTGTGGTTTGCTTCTTCTTTCCTATCAAACGTCTATCGTCTTTATCTCCCCTCCTTCTTTTTTGTGTTTGTTACTCTCTTGTAACACCTAATCTTCGGCACTTATATGACCTTATTGTGTTGCAAGTGCTGTAAAACACTCACTAAAACTTTTTAAAATACAATGTATTGTCTCTTACAGCTTCTTGACTTCATATCTCAAATGGATCCACAAGACAAGGTCATTGTCTTTGTCGGCAAGAAGATTGTGTAAGTTTTTATAATACCTGTATCGTTTAACATCGGGTCAGCTTTAAAGGCCATAAACTAAATCATTACTGTTCAAATTTTTTGTTGTTATTGTCTGTATTTTCATCTTGCTTGAAACGAATTTGTGAAATGATAGATGCTTTCTCAGTGGCATTGTGATAGGTGATTGACTGTTTTTAAAAAACGTGTTTTCCGGGATGTGTTGGGGGGGGTACCTAAATATAATGGAATAATGGGCATAGACAACCTTTAATTTTATTCAATGAAAAATGGTTCAAGCAGTATTTTTTTATTCTATTCAATTGAACTGTTTTTAAAAATCTTTTTTCATTGTAGGGCTGATGATGTGTCCAGTGACCTTGCAATGGAGAGCATCATGTGTCAGTGTATCCATGGCGACAGGTAAGATATCTCTTTACCTTTTTCAGACTTCCCCCACCCCTTCAAGAATTCCTTTGTCATACTGTAGCAAAACAAAAAAAAGTGCACAAAGCTGACTAAGCTGTAGTAATATTTATAACTGAGTTGTGGAGCTTAACACATTACACCCTAACTCACCCGGGACCGCCTGGGAATTCCCTAATGCGCTCCACCCTGACTTGTCCGGAACCGCCCGCACCGACTTAACGTCTTTAGAAATGAAGTATCGCCTTGACGAGACTCTGGGGCCGAGATTTTGATTTGCATAGTTATTGCAAAAAGTTTCTTCTTTCGTTTGATACCGAAACCAGACTTGCCACTCATCCCGATTTAGTCGGGATATCCCGATTTTTTGCCCCAAATCTCAAGCATCCTGATTTTCCCAATTTCAATCGCGTGTATCCCGATTTTTTATCCCAGTCCGCTGTTGTGCCGGATTTTAAAAAAAACTTACTCTGCCTTCTCCTTTATCGCGGGAAGCACCCGTTTAACTTTTTGTCAGTAGGAACTCGGAGCACTATTTCCCGAAATATCGATGCCGCATTCATTTAGTAGTTGACTCGCCCCAAGTTGTGTGTGATCTTTGCCCGCACTCAGAATTCTCTGATGATAGCCTGGTAACTGTTACAATTTGGGACATACAAATAATCGATAATATTCATACTTCCGCTCCTACTTTCAAAACAAGCCTTGTCCGAGGTCTGGTAACTGCGCGTTCAGACTAAACACTCAGACGAGCGACAGTCTTTCTAACCCTTACACAACTACATGTAACTGCACTGACAAGACTAACATACAACTGTTGTCGTTGCTTTAGTCTGAACGCATTATGAGGGATAAGAGATTTGTTGGTACAATTGGTCGTCGGCTGGCGTTGTTATCCTAGAGTACTAGAAGTAGAACGACTGTCGCTCATCTGAGAGTTTTTAGTGAACGTGCAGTTAGTCGGACCCGTTAATAAAATTATTTCAATCGCGCATTCGCGTCACGTGACATGACATCGCCGTGCGAGTTCTGTGTGTCGGGGACCGTCCGTTGACAGGGTCAACTTAAGTTCATGTATTTCGGGACTTATTGGTTGAGGTGGGGGGGTATAGACACTTGGGACTAGGAGTGCTTGACGTGATGCTTCAGGATTTACAAAAAATAATGATAACTGGCACGCATGCGCGCGCACACACACGCGCAAACAAACAAAGACACTCAGAGGGCATATAGGCCAAGTAATTTATGGACACCCCTGGAAAAATTTTAAGTCAGCTTTGGCAGTCACCATGGTGATTTGCTGTTGATCCCGATTTTTTTCACCGATTTGCTGTTAATCCCGATTTTTTCTCCATGAGATCCTGGTTTTTCGGGCCAGTAGTTTTAGTATTAGAGACGATCGAAGTGCGATAGCGTTACCAACACTTTGAAGGTGTCTCGACTTGTTGAAAAGCGACACGATTGAGTTTGAAAAAGGAAATAACGATGGATTTGAGCAAAAACAAGCATATGACAAATCAGATGACTCAGATTTTGATGAAAACGTTGTAGTCAAGAGTTTGGGGCGATTCAGATTGATCAGACATAGAAAATCTAAAATTTAGATCGAGGGCCCAACCGTGAGGCTGAGAGTGACGGGTCGGACACCCCGATTGAACTAAAGTTAGAACATTTCCAACAGTTTACGCAAACAAAAAGTTATATTTATCTGAAACAACATTCATTTTTCTTGTTAACTTTGGGTTTTTTTAGATTTAAAAAATTAATTTAGTATTTTTAAAATGTTTTTTAAACGCTTGTATTCTCGAGAGGTGGGTTCCTTCCCCTTGCTTAGGATCTAATAATGGACTTCCGGTCCAGACCCTTAGGGTGTAATGTGTTAAGAAATAGACCTGTATCACAGTGATTGGTGTCGAGTATTACTTGATGAAAGGTCTTCACTTCATAATATTGTATATTAATGTAATGATCCTGAAGATCAACTAGTTCAGTTATTTGTTTTCAATATAGTAGGACAGCATAATGTCGAACTGAAAGTCTCGTTCGGAGACTTTGGGGGGGGGGGTGAGAATATTACTATTTTGAGTTCGTATATAATGACGTGTGGCATATTTGTTATTATCTTTGTCCAAACCGTATGTGATTTATGTCTGTGAATGTGTGGGTGGGGTTTAAAATCTGATAGGTAAGCATGTTTTATTTTTTTCCTTTTTCCAAATCTGCACGGTGGTTGGCGGGTGATCTGGTGTGGTTTGCTCCTCTTTTCCTATCAAACATCTGACGTCCTTATCTCTCCACCTTCTTTTTTGGGTTTGTTACTTTCTTGTAACACATAATCTATTCTTCGGCACTTATATGACCTTATTGTGTTGCAAGTGCCGTAAAACTCTTACTAGAACTGATACAGGCTTATTTTTTACTTTAAGTATTTTTTTTCCTTCATTTTAAGTGTTTTCTTTATGTGTGTGGTCCATTTTACCAATTACTCTTTATCATTGTCCTCTTAATATAATTGCAATCGGCTCACTTTTTCCAATTTATTTCTGTTTGAATAAATATGGAAATATTGGTTCAAAATGACTGTATGCATTGACAATTGACTTTATGTGAAAACAGAGAACAATGTGACCGGGAGACAGCTCTCAGTGAGTTCAAGGATGGAACAGTTCGCATTTTGATTGCCACCGATGTTGCATCCAGAGGTCTTGATGTTGTGGATATCACGTAAGTATTTGTGAAGCGTACTGACAAAATGAGTTACTTCTTGGATTCGAGCCCTATGGATATAGATACATCACGCTTATAAGTGAAGTTTTTTACAATTTATAAGTATGAAGTTATAAAATACATGTTATAAATGGTCGCTTTAAGCACAGTGGGGCTATCCCGAAAAATGCTGTTTTGAGAAAATTGAAGGTAAAGTTTTTGCCCCTAGTTCAGTTTCTTTGAAAGTCAAGGAGAGTTTTCTCTATAACCAAACAAATATACATACCAATGAAACCTAACTTCTCATATAAGTAGGGCAATGCCCACTTTTGGTGTCGGTCAAGATTTCTGGAAACCCCCGAAATCTGGGTTAGGCCTCTTGTCCTTAAAAGCGACCAATTAAAGAATATGACATTAATAGAAAATCTAAAAATTTGATCAAAGTTTCGATTTTAGGCCAATATCTCTGTTTGTGAATTGTGAACGGTAACTCAATTCGTCCTTTTATCATTGTAAACCTCTTCACATTTATTTCACTTTCCTAGTGTATTGTGTTATGTAACTGCTTTTGTACTCCTATCAAATCTGGTCAGTGTAATAGCATTAGCAGTTTTGATGATGATGATGTCAGTGTTTTGTCTTTATTTTGCAAATTTGATAAATTTGATAAATGCAAACGCAGATTGTTGAGAAGAAATGTGGTCATCTTAGACAGGTGGACAATGTCACAATACATTTTTTTAAATGCAGAGGAGGCGGCGCGTTGGTGCAGGTTTTTGTCTTGGGCTGGTTGTCCGTTCTTTAAATGGGTTTGTGTAGTATTCCTCATCTTAACCATTTACAGTGGGTGGTTGGCGGTGCTCTGGTGTGGTTTTCTTCTTCTTTCCTATCAAACATCTATCGTCCTTATCTCCCCTTCTTCTTTTTTATGTTTGTTGCTCTCTTGTAACACCTCTAATCTTCTGGCACTCATATGACCTTATGCAGTTGCGAGCGCTGTAAAACCTCTACTAAAACTAACCATTTACTTTCCATAACAATTGCAGGCATGTCATCAACTATGATTTCCCGCGACACATTGAAGAATATGTGCACAGAATCGGCAGGACTGGAAGAGCTGGGTGAGTCGGATAGACTTGATTGCTTTTTTTACTCCCTGGTGGTTTGGCTCTCGGACTCACAACCGTAAGGTCGTGGGTTCGAATCCCGTTAGGGACCCGACGTTGTGTCCTTGGGAAAGGCACTTTGCACAAATTTTCCTCACTTCACCCAGGTGGAAATGGGTACCCGGCTATAGACAGTGAACGATCTTGTCAGTTTGATAGTCTTTGAGTGCGTGAAATCCGCAGCTTGCACTGTATGCTTCTGCGGAGGCCGAGAATGTTTCTTGACTCAAATAATTTAATTTTATGCCTGCAGAGTTCTCAATGTATATATATATATATATTTCTTTTTAAAATTTAATTTCTCAGGCGGTCGGGAACGTCCATCACCTTTGTGACAAGGGGTGACTGGAAGAGTGCGAAGCACCTGATTGACATTATGGCTGAAGCAGATCAAGTAAGTTTGCTGTCCTTCCACACTGTGTTAGATATATAGATAGACTTTGTTCCATCGAGAACTAAAGAATGACTGGCTTTGTACCTTCTTCCAGATCAGAACTGTTGCCTCTAAATTATTTCTCTGTTCATAACATTTAAAAAAATTTCTGAACCCTTTTGAAAATATAAGGATTTCACGGAATTCTATAAATGTACCTAGGAAACATATGCTGTCACACCCCCCCCTAGCTGTGAAAAACATATATCTCCTGAGGTCAATAAGTGCTTTTCTTGGTGAGGGTGTTAATCGTACTGGTCCACATGTCCCAGTTTTGAGAGTAGAGAATGTAGGAGGTCCAGAACTTTATTGTGGTTACAACTTTCTGTTGCTTTGAGTGCATGGACAGACTTTAAAGAAGAGAAACTGAAAAGGAGCTTGTACTCGGTGTCAGTGTTGGAAATAGGGCTGGGCAATGAGTCACTTTAGCAAAATCTGGATAATATGTTAGTGCACCTCTTTGGCAAATATGATATTATGAACCCCTTCAGCAAATGGGTTAGAGCCACTTCAACAAACGGGTTAGCATTACTTCAACAAATGGGTGCTCCCACTTCGGCAAACGGGTCAGGAAAGAGAGTTAAGAGTCTGAATTCGGATAATGTTTCATTGATAATTATGCGGTTATCCGGATAGATTATCCGGATTTTCCCCACCTCTAGTTGGAAGGGCTGGGGCTACATGGGATCTGTAGCCTTTAGTCCCACTGAGAATCTGTCCCTCTTTGTCCTATTTATTATTGTACACTTTGTGTGGAGAAAGTCGTTGTTGCGGAACACAGCACTACACCACAAGTTAAAACGACATAATAAATGATAAACAAAACTCTTACCGTGGTTGTTGAGTATTTAATTTCAATAAATGTAGTTTGTATGTTTACTGCGGTTAGTCGACCGAGGCTCTGTCCCCTACTCTCTCTCTCGTCTGATTGTCCCGCAGAAAGCCATGACTGGCTGATTATATACTCTTTCCTGAACTCTTTTACACGAGAACCCCTCCCCGCACGAGATATCCGTGTCACTCCGCACGGGAACCCGCGCCCCGAGGAAATCTAGTTACTTGTGCACACAACAGTCGTGTTAAACTAATGTTCATCATGCCAGTACCAGGTCAATAAAGTTGTCCTTTTTCAAATTGTCTTTCTTAAAGTATTATTGAAGTCTTAACTCAAACCCACAAAGCTTCCTACCAGTACTGTTAGCTCTTTTACTGTCTTTGTGTTCCTAAGTTAGGTATATGAGCTGTGAAGGCCATCTCATTCCTTGGAGTTCTATTCATAATATATATATATACATTGCACAGTTGAACCTGCTCTCTTGGCCTCCTGTATTAGAGACAAATTCCAGTACAAATGACCACTTTCCATTTCCCCCCTTATGATTTTTTTACATACCGGTAATGACACTGTGTAAGAAATCCCCCTGTCTAAGAGTGGGTTGTTGGAGGGTGCTCTGGTATGGTTTGCTCCTTCTTTCCTATCAAACATCTATCGCCCTTATCTACTCTCCTTCTTTTTTGTGTTTGTTACTCTCTTGTAACACATCTAATCTTCTGCACTTATGACCTTATTGTGTTTGCAAGTGCCGTAAAACACTTACTCAAAAAAAACATCCCCCTGTCTAAGACGGCTGCCTTTTTCCTTGACAATGGGTGGCCATCTTGGACAATTTCGACTATTTTTGTCTGTTTATCCTTTCACAACTCGCAGAATGATTTCCAAAGGAGCCTTTCTTTTCTGCTCTAGCATTCCTAGTCCTTTTCCATGTTAAACAACAGTTCAATTATATCATAAGCAAGGATACAGATTGTTCTAAAAAATGGTTTGATTATTCAACAGGAAATCCTTGATGGATTGTTCTAAAAATGGTTTATTTTTTCGAACAGGAAATCCCCGATGAATTGGTATCCATGGCTGAACGGTACGCTGCGTTCAAAAGGCGGAGAGACGAGGACGGTCCGTCGCGTGGTCGGGGAGGCTTCAGGGGAGGGCGTGGTGGTGGCCGCCGCAGAGACGATGACTGCCCCACTTGGATCTGAGCCTTTAGTGCTACGTGATTCAGCCGTGATACTCACCAGAGATGTGTGTTCTTTAGCCTGTCCTCGTCGTTTTATGCGTGAAATTATGCGATTCTGTTAATTTTAACAAAGAATGATAAATGAAAATAATCAGAAATTATTTTTAAAATGATCAAATTTTGTTAAATTATGCGGGGTGCATAAAACCACAGGGACAGTTTAGCTGGATCAAAATGTAGTGAGTTTTTTCTTTTAAAAAATATGTTTCTTTAAAAAAAATTACAGTAGAGCTCAAATGCTTTCAATGTACAGTGGAGCCCTCTGAACCCTCTTGCATGGGGAAAGTCATGCACTTAGGCCAGTGGGGGTCTATTGAGCACTTTCCAAGTGAAAATGCTGTGTATAGACATTATCATTTATATTATTTTTATCTTCATCTCGCATTTTGTGTTCACGACGAAATTATTGTCTTAAATACTTATACTGAAAGTAATTGTGATTGAATGCGTTTTCTATTGAGACTGACGTATTTTAACAGTGTACTTATCAGTAGAACCTACTCTTTTGTATTTTTCAACACATGTTGATTTAATGTCTGACTTTTCTTTCAATATTAGATTCATGACATGAATGTATAGTGTGTATGTATGTCATGAATCCTCTGTCCTTAGTGGATGGTTGAAGAAAAGTTTTAAAATCATAATTTTTTTGGTGTTGTTCTTCTCATGCACTTGACATTCCTGTCATACTGACAGTTTGATACGATGCATGCTTATCATTCCATGTCCTGTCTCTGATCAGTGTTGTGTTGACTTTGCATAAAATATGCCGTTTTTACTCAGGGGTCCATTATGGTGTGCTTTCCAAGTTTCAATATGAACATCCCAATTTTTAAAAATCTGGTAGATGGTGCTTTGTCAGCAATGACACTTTGCAAGTATCTGTTCTGGACTTGATTTCTAGCTGGTCTGAATTTTCAGGAAAAAGTTTCCTTTGGATTTCACAGCTAAACTACGATATGTTGATACAGAAAAGAATTCTTTACACTGGCTTTTATTGTGCCAATACGCACAAAGACAAGAGGGGAAATGAAGATCCGGATCATACTTGTGTAAACAAAATGGCCATCACTTGTTTTATCACATTACAGTAGTCTCCGCCTAAACGCACAGTGCTTGGGAGGGCTCCTTAGCGTGTGTTTATACGCAGCGTGCGTTTACATGAACCTTAGCAAAGGGAGGAAGGGGCGCAGTCATCTCATTGCTTTGATATTCTAGTTACCTCCCTTTGAGGCTGATAATGTGACGACACGTGACTGTTTTGTAAAAGATTCCTCGACTGCGGTTAAGACGGCAAAGGCATTGAATGGGTGTGTGTAGGGGGGGGCAGAAAGACAGACTCGATATAATGAATGCACCATAAAATGTCGGGAACCAATAGCCTAAAAAGAAATTGTTGGTGATAGTTATAGAGACGACAGCCCAGCCACATGGCTTTCCAAGCGACCACCCCCGACCGTAAATTCATGAACGAGCATTCACGCGTGTTGCGCTTCATAGTCATAGGCTTAGGTCTAATTAATCATTAGCCAACACGTAGTCACGCAAACACCAGTCAGAAAACTTCTCTTAAAGAGATGCATTTCCAGTGACCAATCAAATAACGTTTCAATCCCCCAACCCCCCAACATTTCACCGACCAGTCCTAGACCTAGGTGTCTGTGGAAAGTTGGGTGTGAAAACGCTGTCCATCACTCTCTTTGTTCGACGTAAGGGACAGTCTCGCCAAATATCCGGTTTTCCAGGCTTGTCTTATGCAAGCTGTGCAGACCGTACAGTAGTCGTAGTGAAAATTTCCCTTAGTCAAGCTTTACCTGTCAGCATGTTTCGCAGATCGGAGCGTGCTTTTAGGGGGAGTGACCATGCGTTTGTATGTCTAGATTATGTAGTAAAAAAAACTAGTAAGATGACGAAAACGTGCGTTTGAGCGGAGCGTGCTTTTGTATGGCGTGCGTTTAGGCGGAGACTACTGTATATGATTGAGATACCCCTAGAGATCTAACGTAAAGTGTTTGAAGTCTTTTCTGATTGTGTTTTTAGGGTTGTTCAGAAAGTTGTTTTTTTCTTTTCAAATTGCTCTATCTGAAATGTACATATGTTGTTTATTTGGAGAACCAATCTCTCAAACTGAATGGGATCAAATTAAGCCCTTTTATCAAATTATACAATCCTGAAAAGTACAAAATGTATCAACAAAACAGATTTGCTCTTTATATCCAATCCATGTTGTGATTTATTTATTTTGCAGTAGTCTCCACTTAAGATTCCGGTGTTCAAAATCTGGAAAAGGCGAGATATTATACCAGTTCAATCTCATCAGACCAAAAGGGGTGTGGTGTGTGTGTGTGTGTGGGTCATGTGGTCTCTCAGATGTGTATAAATAAAATTAGAATTTTTCTTCTGGAAAAATTGATATACTGCACCAGTTCAGTCTTATCTGACCAAATGGTGTATGTGTGTGTGTGTGAGCGTGTTTTGAGAGAGATCTTGCGGATGTGTATTTAATGAAATTTAAATTTTGCTTCCAAAGAAATGCTGGATTTCTGTCTAACAGGATGATGGGCAGCAGGGTCCTAGGCGTTGACTACTGTATTTTCCCACTCCCAGTGTTGTGGGATGTGCCTGTAGCACTATCAATAAAAAGTATTACTAAGGCTTTTTAAAACCATGTAACATGTAAATACGTTTTGTGAAGGTCAAATTTTATGATTTACTATTCATCAGTTGAGTATGAGGCTGAACTTGCTGAAAATATCAGCTAAAATTACTGTGAAATGTCCCAAGTCTTTTTTATTTGCGTTTTTAAAGGGAAAGATGAACATTTCTTAAGGTGATAATGGTTCAGATCTGCTCAAAATTTTTCTTTAATGGTATATTTTTTATTGACTGGAGTCTTGTTTTTTTACCTTAGCATTTTTGTAGAGATCTTTGTGTTTCTGCTTTGTTGACCATGAATGTCTCTTTGCTTTCACTTTTTGTTTTTTCTATCAAAGTGTATATTCTCACAATTGTATCGTGCTCGGCTGATTCATCAACAGTTGTGCATTTCTGTTGATTTCATGTCAGGCACAACAAACTCGAGGGTGCGGTGGAGGAACGGTTAGTGCGCACGTTTCCAAAGCGGAAAGTCCAGGTTCGAGCCTCGGTTAGGACACGCATTTTTTTTGTCCGGATGGGATGCGAGAACAACTTTACTTTTTACAGCAAACTCGGGTAATAGTGAGAGAGAAAGTACTTAATGAATGTTTATATTTATATGGAAAACGAACAAATTATTCTTTTTTATTCCTCCACCTTCCTTTTAATCACAAAGTCATGGATGCAGTGGTCTGCTGATGCAATTTTGTATTATCCTGATTTCAACCTATTTCTTTATTAAATAAAGACAAAGCATGCTTATGTTGCCATCAAGTTCCTTTTACTATGGCTGAGATAGAACAGATTTGTGTGCCTGATAATTTTTTTTTTTTTTTTAAACACTGGAATATCCTGGAGGCACAGATCTTGTAGTTTTACAAGTTCAGGTAGGCCTACTGAAATGTGTAAATTTAGATAGTAATATCTATTGCTGTTTATTTTAAAAATCTCTTGCCATTACTAAATGTTCACTTGTGGGTTTTAGGTTTCATGGTTTGCTCCTTCTTTCCTGTCAAACATCTATCTATTGTCTTTTTCTCTCCTACTTCTTTTCTTTCTTTGTTACTCTCTAGTAACACCTCTAATCGTCGGCGCTTATTACCTGTGTTGCAAATGCTGTAAAACTTGAACACTGAAACTAAATGACCACTTCTCTTGTTGGCCTACTGTCTTCTTAGTATGGTAGTTAAGAGAGGGGGAGTGCACTGTTTTACCACAGATGGCTCTATTTTTTAAAGAGATGTATTTTTGCTTTTGTTTCCCTTGAAAGTACAGTATTTGAGCTGGCTTCACTACTTGACGGCTTTGTGGAATGCTCCCTTTTGACAGACATGTCAAAACTTGTATAGCTGTGTTCATGTCAATACTAGTCCCAACCAAAGTTTTTCTGTATGTTTGTACAAAATGTAACAAAAGGTGACTGTTGGTGATGAATGGCAGCAGGTGCTACATACATACGCATGTACATAAAATTATGTGCGAGGTTGAAATTGATCTATGCTTTGTTGAAGTTGAATAAACATGTTCTTTTTCATAATTATGTTATTGTAATCTTCAGTCGATCCTTTTTTTTTTTTTGTATGATAATATTGTTATTGATAAGAAATGAGTATTCCTCGAACTTGAACCTGTTGGTATTTAGTGGGTGCTCTAGTATGGGTTTCTACAATGTATTGTATATTCATCATATTTTGATCCCTGGGAGGAAAGATTCATTGTGGGTAGTTGGTAGGTTCTCTGGTGTGGTTTATTCCTTCTCTTTCCTGTCAAACATATATTTCCATCATCTGTATCTCTCCTCCTTTTTTGTGTTTGTTACTCTCTTGTAGCGGGAGGAACTGGAGTTGTTTCTTCAGTTCTGGGTTGGAATTACATTTTGAAATAGAATTTTATCTGTTCCGACCTGTTTGCTTTCAGCATTCTGGTGCAAAAATAGATGATAGATCTGCACTGTGCCAATACCTGGGTCCATCCACTGGATTTGTTCTCAAATACATTTTGCTTCATTTCAATATAAGCGAGAAGAAGTAACCATCACTGCACCCATTTCTTGCAAACTACGACTCAACTCCAGCCACAAAATTACATGCATGTGTAAATTCCTTTTTTAAAAACCAACCTGACAAAATGTAAGCGTATTCTTCAACTTGGTTATCAGTCCATTGAAAAAACTACTACTAGTCTATAGTTGCATTTTTTTTGCCCACGTTTGGGGCACAGTATCAATTTGAACTCATTCAAGCAGCCAGGCTTGATTTAGTAAGTGTTTTACGGCACTTGCAATTCAATAAGGTCATAATAACTTTTATGTTTTGTTTTAGTAGAGGTTTTACAGCGCTCGCAACTGCATAAGGTCATATGAGCGCCAGAAGATAGGTGTCACAAGAGAGTAACAAAAAAAAAGAAAAAGGGGAGATAAGGACGACAGATGTTTGATAGGAAAGAAGGAGCAAACCACACCAGAGCACCCGCCAACCACCCACAATAACTTTTATAAGTGCCGAAGATTAGAGGTGTTACAAGAGAGTAACAAACACAAATAAGGAGAGAAAAGGACAATAGATGTTTGATAGGAAAGAGAAAGCAAACCACACCAGAACACAGGCTTGCTTTATCAGACAAAGCAAGATAGGTAGAAATGAACAGCAAAAAAAAAAAAAGAAGGAAAATGAACAAAATTAAGTTTATTGAACACATGTACAATGCTTAACAATTTTGAAAACAAAATTTAAAAAAATTGTGCAGAGATAAATGTAAGATCTTTCAAGGCACTGTCAACTGTCCATGTTTGCTTGACAAATGATGTCTTGGACAGCGTAATAAAAGTTATAAAAAGAAATCAAAATGATTATGCATAGTTGTTTTTTTTAAATTGTTTTTTAGGACATGATTATTCCAAGTCATTTGTATCGTCTTCCCGACAATCAGGCTTCTGAAAGATTTCCAGGAAAAAGCAACCATAGTATAAATTTATTAGCTGGAAGACAATCTTCACACCACACAACTTTGCCACTGTTGTCTCTTATGCCATTGTCATTGATGTAAAGTTTACTTGTGTCTTTGTAAAACACCTATGGTTACTTGATGCAGTGAAAAAACAAGACAGAAACAAAATAAACAGAAGCTTCCAGTGCCATCCCCAACCATCCATTTGGTCCAGTGTAAATTCACAAAATATAAAAAAAAGAATCATGAACATATCCAGATAAAAGTAAAAGAGGACAACATGTAAAGTTGTGAAGCAAACCAAAAATCTGAAGTGTTACATGTTTATGTAATTACAGAAATGTTTCAAAAAGCACCTCCCACAACCCATCAAAATCAAGCTGCAATGTTTTGGTCAGATCTAATAATGTGAAATTGAAAAAAAAACAACAACATTTCAGTAGACACGAAAATCTTACACATACAGATCAGAAAAAAATAAAACAAGCACTTGAGAATTCACAACTCCCCATGAATGTTATAAATCCATTGGATTTGGGACAAGTAACGCATTAGAGATTTGTTCAGAAATATCCACGTAACCACACCTCTTTTCTTCATCAGATACCACACATGATAAAACAAATTTACCCTGATGTAAAATTCACCTTAAAAAAAAGTGATGTTATGCTGTTTGAACCCGAAGCCCTGACATTTTGATCATACATCACAACAGTTAGAAATGAATATCAAAATCAAAAGACAACTAAACGACACATTTAAGTACCAGTGTTTGTCCTATATAGCTCAAGGGTAAACTGCCAGAAAAGGTTTCCATGTACATGTATAACAATAAATAGGTGCTAAGGTTGCACAAACTAAAAAATTGTCTCATAAAATATACAAGAAAAAGCAACAATTTCCAAGAATTTTTTTTACAAAAAGATCTTTAAAAAAAAGAGAAAAAAAGAAAGAGACAGGGTGCAGACTACTAATACTACTATCCAAACCAACAGAAGGGACATTCCAAACCAACTGGTGTCAGCATTTGAAATGTTTTGCAAAAGCTGAATCATCTTCACAGTACTCTGCACCACATCTTTTCGGAACACATTTGGGTTACAAAGGCATGGATAACTCCCAACCTTCCAATTATATCATATATACATGAACACATGCTTGTATACAGTAATACTTATAGTATTGTATAGATCTAAGAATAAGATATTTGAAAAAATAAACATGCACTCTCTATTGTCCAGACATTTGGACCAAAGTACACGTTGATCTCAAAGGTGCCAAAATGCATCATGTATGTACAGAAGCAAGAAAAAGAAATTCTGCTAAACTGGTGAATTGGTCCCATTCCACACATGTAAAACAATCCCTTTTCATAACTTGATAGCAAGCAAACTTTCATTACAAAAGTAATAAATTTGCTTCTTTTGCTATGAGTATGAGTACTTTTCATTGTGGGTAAAATCCCCCTCAATTTTACAAATATGACCCCCATTAAGTAATTTCTAATATTATGCCCATCTTTGTTTTATGCATGGGTCAATCTTGAGCATGATCTAGTAAAACTTGAAACAGCCTCCTTGTCCATTCTTCTTCATGAAAAATTACACCCAAATTAAAGATAAAACACTGTCTAAACTTTTCAATCTCTTTTCTCAAAACAGGTTTTCTTTCTCTCTGATATGTTAGAGACTGGGAACAAATGAGTTAAAAATACAAACATAAATGGTTTTATCTGCAGCTGCAAACCATTTTCAAAGCAAAATGACATTCATTACATTATGGTATTTGAAATTAAAATATCAAAAACTCCACTAGTTATGTATGAGTGGTTTTAGCAAAATGTTGAAGTCTGTAAGAAAAAGGATGTGAAACTTCCATCAACCAAAAGAAATAAAACAGCTGCCTTTAGGAGATATCTGAAAGGAAACTATGAGAGAGCTCGAAAAATGCAACTGGCGTGTTTGCAATTCCGAGGAGGGATACAGAAAACAGCGTCTTCACATTAGAATTGGAAAGAAAATTGCTCTCCATAAAGATAAATAACTCAACCTGGCAATGATTTCATTGTATTCATTAGCAATTCTGAATAAACACTTTCAATTTGATCAAATTACAATGAATGCTACTTGAGTTTTAAAAACAAAACAAAAACAAACATTTAATTTGCTGATTCTTCTGTAAACATCTATGTACAGAAATAAAAATCAAGCCACAATACACTAGACTTGTAACACTCATGACAAGCAATCAAATCACAGGGGAAAAAGGTTTCTCGAGTAAAATCCAACGAAATATTTTCTTAAATGGACATAACAGTTGTTCAAGAAAAAAAAAATTTCCTAAAAGGCAGAAAAATGGTTTCTTTGATTTCATTATTTTGACGAGCACCTGATTTTACTACAATGCCACACATGTAAGACAATTGAATGGTACATAATTACTGTCCATACGAACCTCTTTGTATTATTTCCAACAGAAACTTCACTTAAGTTTACGACGACGGGGGCGGGGCTGGCTATAAATCTCTAAACAACACCGTAACTGAGGAAAACTGTTCATGAAACTCAACCGTGATATTTGTAAACTAAAAACGTTGGCATTCCCATGTACTTCTGTGCAAATCTTCTTCCATCTGGTGTTGGATCTGAGAAAGCAACTTTATGCTTTGGGATCAGGGTTCCATACTCAAACCATTGCCTGTGGACAGAAGTAAAAGAAAGATGTTCAAGAGAAGGAAAAAAAGAGGGAGAGATGGAGGAGAAAGAGAGAGAGGGGAGGGGAGAGAGAGAGAGAGAGAGAGAGGGGGAAGAGAGAGAGAGAGGGAGGGGAGGGAGAGAGAGAGAGAGGGAGGGGAGAGAGAGAGAGAGAGAGAGAGAGAGAGAGAGAGAGAGAGAGAGAGAGAGAGAGAGCTCTTAAATCCTACTAATGAAATTACAGGACATCAGAAGTACAATGAATTTGGTGAGGTAAAGTGGAAGGTACGGTGCACAAGTGCACTAAATGCTGAACATTGTCATGAAAATATCTCATACAAGAAGAGTAAAAATCAGTTCGATGAAAGCTGAAGTAGTTGAGAAACACACCCCATGAATTTCCACAAAGGTAAACTTGTTTATGATAAAGAATGACAAACCCAAAAACCTCACTGGAAAGCTGCCTTACAGAAAGTTGAAAGCACAGGGACCGTTATTTGACGAAGAATGTGGTTAAAAGGACTTCAGTATTGTTTTAATGTTTATCTTTAGCTTTAATAAAGGCAATATCTTTAGCTATAATAAAGGCAACACTTTATCCCAAGAGTATAAAGCCTTACATTCTGCAACTAGACATAGAACAATTACAGTTGAGTGTGTTTGAACCGAACACGGTTCAACTGAAAACAGTAGTAAACCAAATGAAAATACTCTCCAAATCGAAAAAAATCGGACGGCCTCACAGATTTCAGTTTAAATGAACTCCATTCCATAGTATTTGGAATATGAAACACTTGGCCAATGTGCACCTCATACCATGACGAAAACCACCAGTTAAAGGACACATACACTGTCAAACCACAACCTTTTCTCGTGCATTAACAGACCTGCACTTACAGCACCGGCGCAGCTAAAATCCGTTTTACTATTAAAGGAAGTTTTACTTTCATTTTCATTTCTCTTTCAGAAAATACTGTTCTCATTATTGTAGGATGTGTGTGTGTGTGATTTTATACATTATTTTTTGTGAGGTACCCCCTCTTTTTTGCATAGTTTTTCCCCTTCTCTTAGTAGGGATGCCACACAACTTCTTTCAAAATAGCTGAAAATCCCTGCACCACGGTCTTCCTAACATATGAATATTAATTTGAAACCCAAAGGCAAAGGGTGTACATAGAGAGAAATGACAAACAAACATAAGCTATGGATGTGCATAAAGCTGGCCCCGCGGAAAATTGCATTTTTGAAAAGGAAAAATTGCAAGGTAAACTGCCTAAAAAATTGCAACCTTCCCATTCCAGGCGCATTAATAGGAGCTTAACATTTCCACAAAAAAAAAAAAAAGAAAGAAGAAAAGCAGAACAGCCTTTCAAAAAATCATGACCCACAATACAAATATTATTAACAGTTACCAGTAACAACACACGAGTACGTTAACAATAAAGTTATCGACCAAATATAATATAATACCCAAAATAATGGAACCCTCAGTTTTCGTAATAACTTTTAAATGAAGGCATAAAATTTGACCAAATTTAGTACAAAAAAATACCGGGTACTTGGTTCATGCAAAGATCTAGAAGTGTCGTATGAGAGTTAGTCTACAAAAACAAAAAAAATTGATGGGAGATTCGAACCTCTAAATGCAAAATTAGCTTATGCCCCAATCAATTCAGATCCTATTCTATTTTTCTCTTGAAACCTTCGATACACCGGTAATCTGTATTTAGATCTATTTCAGATATTTTACTTTTTAAAACCAGTATGGTACTGTTTTAACTCTAAGTCAAATCGTAAAATACAGCAAATTTTTAAACCCATTTAATAGTAATAATGATGTAGATAATTTCTGTAGCGACCACTCCCGGGTGCACGCAGCTTAAAGCGTTTTACATTTGTTAGGGGAGTGTCTACGTACACGATAACCGGGTACATAGTCTCATTGTCAGGGTACACGGTAACCAGGCAGTTCAGAACTCCAAAGTTCAGTTTTTGTCGTCTGAAGTTGCCTTCAACCGCAGCCCTGTACCTTATCAATAATCCTCCCATTCTGGAGCCCTATACTTTACAGCGCACAAACTTTGAATGAATTTTGGTGACCCCAACCGGTACTCACAATGCGATGCGAAAGCACAGGTTCAGTGACCGGTAACGGTGGCGAGCCCAACAAGACGCGTGTACATGTACGACTCTTTTTTTGTTCAACAAGTGAGAGCATAGGACAAATATTGATTTATTTTCATTCCGGTTACCGTGTACGTAGATACTGACACTAGGTGACCGGTTTCCGTGTATGTAGACATATGCGTCATGAACGAACAAAATTCACGCGCGCGCGCATACACACACACACGTACACCTTACACGCGCACGCACATGCACACTACACACACACCTACTTTCTTATCACATGCGCACACTTACACACATTAGATCTAATCTATGTCTCTGTGTTGTATGATGTATTCCGGCCTGAATTTCCGGTTATAGCTTTTAGAGTACGCCCAGTAGACTAGAGCTGGGCTGAAACCATGAATTACGCAGGCTTATCGGCTCTGTACTTGCACCATTTCGAATTAAAGATTCTGTTAAAACTAAATCGTTTATGTCATTTTGCCGAAAATTGCAAAAATATTGCGGAACTGGACGAAAAACGCGGCCGCAAGACCGTGATTTCCTGGGGGGGCCAGATAGAGAGAAATGACAAACAAACAAAAACAATGGGTATAGGCCTACTTGCTGAGATTGACACAAATCTTCCGGGGTTTTTTTCTCCCCGTTATTTGAGCTTACGGCGAAGTCTTCATTTTTCCGTTATTTGAACATTTGGCGCAAGTTGTGTGTGTGTGGGTTTGTTTTTAAAAAAAAATTTTTTTCCAACTATAGATTCTATCTTGATCTCAATAACGGAATAGCGGACCAGGATCCAAATACTGGAAGAAAGCGGAAAAGTGGCATCCCTGTGTCTTAGGGATGAGGGAGTCTCAGCTGCCCTGTCTGCTAAGTGCGAATGGGATTAACCACACAGAGTGTAACTCACAAGACGCAGTCCACTAGTTTTGTGGCCACCCCAGAACGACGCTGGGACGCAGCCACCCACAGGCGACTAATGCCCACACAGGCCGGTTCCGCCACCTTGGTGCAGCACCACGGCCGCTGACCACTCGCTTCTTTGTCATCAAGGTTGTCTGGGATGATCCGATAACCCTTTCATGGGAAGACAAAGAGGGACATGAGACACCTTTCTCCGGTCAAAAGTAGGAAAAACAGAAAATACTAGAAATCACATAACACTGTTGAGCAAAATGATAAATTGGTACTATACAATCATTCTCCTTGACATTATAAGATGTGTTATGTTTTATTCTTCGAAGTAGACCACATTTTATGTTAATGCAAACCAAAATGGGGTTGAATATCAGATACCTTTAAAGAAACTGCTTAAAATTCCACATTTACTCTTTTCACACACCTAACAAACCTGTCAGCCAGCTCATGGTGCCTCCAACAAAATTCTTTCTCAGACATATCTCAAGTCTTAGATTGCAAGGATGTTAACAGACAAAATTCGTGGAAAAAAGTGTCAAAAGGAATGAAAATGAACCAGTCTTACCTCACTAATAGGTTCAGCCACACAGCATCCCTCAATTTGTTTTTCGGATGAAACATAAAAGAACACCTGCAAATATTAATAATATTGAATATAGGACAAGTGTTGGGAATGAAGGAAATACATCGTTTACAATTCTACATACAGTAGCGCCTTTATATTTATAAACGTCTCAGTTATAATCAATAATGTCTATCCAGGAGGCACAAAAGCAACAAATTGTGTAAATTTCGCTCAAATGGAAAAAATTTTTATTTAAAAAAAAGAAAAGAAAAAAAGATAGCACTGCCCAGCATTTGTTAGTTCACATAAAATAGTGTGCTTGAGACTTCATTTGGGCTCTCTAAAACTGACCTCAGCATAGCAACAAAAGAGAAATTGACCAAACATGGACATGGTGATCTTGTTAAGCTTAAGATATGGAACACCCCATCTTATGCCAAATTCCTAACATTCCGAAAGATTAATATATAAGCTGAATAAAAGAAAATATCAGAGGCGTATTTAATTAATTCTACTATTATGTCTGATGCAAATAGATTTTTGCGTCATCAACTGAGCAGCCCAGTACAGCCATGTGAGCTGTTTCTGCTGGGAGACTGTTTTCGTTTCAGTTTGTTGTCTACAGTCTTGTCAAAGGTAGGAAACATACATACTGTTACAAAATACACTTTATTACACAACAAACTGTAACACTGTACTCACCCTATGGTACGGATTGTGAAATGAAGGGCCAATGTCCGGAAATCCTAGTTCTCGGCCCATCACTTGGAAAATCTCTTCCACCTGGAAACGAAAAATTTTATTCAGAGATAAAGGACAGTGCAAAGTAAAATTCCAATCTTCTTGCTAGTGCAGTAGAGTACAGCTTACTGAAGTCAATACATTGTGCTGAACAAATTTCTTTCAGTGCAAACTCAACTAATGGGTATTTGTGCCGTTTCCTTTTCAGATCTTTAGTTTTCGTAAGAGTTTTATGGCACTTGCAACACAATAAGGTCATATAAGTGCCAAAGATTAGAGGTGTTACAAGAGAGTAACAAATAAAAAATAGGAGGAGGAGAGATAATGACGATAGATGTTTGATAGGAAACAAGGAGCAAATCACACTAGAGCACCCGCAAACTAACCACGTGCCTTTTCCTCCCACAAGAAACCAACCATTTTACTACATGGTATGCATAACTAACCAATGGGTGATCGGTATACTTGAAGAAAATGCAAATTGCATTATATCATACTTTGCCATCAGAGACATTGTCCACCGTCATTTGTTTGTGTGCTGGGGGTGCTATGCAAGTAAATGTGCCAGGTTTAGGAAATCAACAAAAGTAAAAGCACCATAGCCACAAAGGCAGTGGAGGAGACAATAGGTCTGTCACACCAAATACCAGGCCACATGTTCAGACTCTCAGTAAAACAAAAGAACAAAAACAAAACCAGCAAAAAAATACCCCAGCATCTAAGGAGCTAACCAGCACTCTCAATAGAGGTGCCAACAAAATAAGAAAAATACATTCTGAACTTTTGGGACACTGCGGAAAAACACTTATGGGGACTAAAAATTTCCAGAGCATATGAATATTATCTAATAGACCTTGTATCATAAAGACTTTTTATATAAAGAGCAATATCATTATATGACATGCACATAGAGAAAAAAATGTAAGCAAATGTACAAGCAAAAAAATACAACAGACATAAAAACAATGATGCACCCTTTGAACAAAGTGCAGACAATTTTAGCCAAATCAGCAACTCTAAAATCCTGAAGCTAAAATTTAGCCTATCATTTAATGTCACAAGGTCTTGTACACATGCATTAAGGATTCAGAGGAATCATTGCTTCAAATACAAATTAAAACTTGCTATGCCAATTCATTTTGAAGTACCGAAGAACAAACCTTTTTCTTTGCATACTTCGGACCATCAGTCATCACCAAAATCACACGACTCATATCCATTGGATATTCCTGCACAACACGCTCATTTTTCCAACCCTGTTTAAAAGAAATATAACAAGTTTTAACACACACACATATTTTTCTTTTACTTTTAACAATATTTTCCACACGGCCAGTGTGGGTAAAATAAAATGAAATAAAACCAAAAAACAGTAAGATCTCATCTCACATTTCATGTACGAGTATCTTAGCAAGGGCAGGACCACCAGGGTCTGTGGTGGAGTGGTCAAGCTCTTTGTCTTACATGCAGACGACAAGAATTTAATTCAGATCATGAGAGGAAGTTCAAATCTTTTACATAGTCATTATTTCTGCTGAGATCATGTATCGCACTCAGCTCAGACAGGCAGGGTCAAGGTAGCCTGTTTCTTACATGATGTAAAATGAGTTGATGGCCGCACAAATTTCTTTAAAAACATTTTTTTAAAACCTAACTGTCCATTACGACAGCAGTTCTCATGAAAACCACGCCATGTTCATAAAGTAAATCCCTTTAGTTTTAGTAAGCGTTTTACGGCGTTGCAACACAATAAGGTCATAAGTGCAGACGATTTAGAGGTGATACAAGAGGGTAACAAACACAAAACAGAAGGAGAGGAGATAAGGACGATAGATATTTGAGCAAACCATACCAGAGCACCCACCAACCACCCACAGAAATTCCATAAAAACTACAACTACACCAGTACGACAATAGGAATAAAAAGGGTAATCCGACAAACAATGGTTTTCAAAGAAGTGAAATAATGACACCAAGTCCAATTAAAATATTACAAGAAAATTTTGCCACTATACTATAACTCACAATTTGAATTTTAACAACACACACAATAGCATGTTGTGTAGAAATGCTCATGCTAGGCATCTCAGTTTTTAGTTTTAGTAGAGGTTTTACGGCGCTCTCAGCTGCATAAGGTTATATGAGTGCCAGAAGATTAGAGGTGTTACAAGAGAGTAACAAACATAAAAAGGAAGAAAGGGAGATAAGGACGATAGATGTTTGATAGGAAAGAAGAAGCAAACCACATCAGAGCACCCGCCAACCACCCACTAGGCATCTCATTCTACCAACGCTGGATAGACTCTACTAAAAAACGTGTCTTAGAAACTGTGAACACAGCTCCAGTCTCTGTTGCTCAAATCATCTCCGCCGATTTATTCTTTCCATTTTCATTATTTTTTCTAGCTGCTGAAACACAAGCTGTGATGTTGTTTTAACAGAGTTCCTCTGCAGAAGTAATAGTCCACTTACAATACTGCCCGAGAAAGCAATACTCACAGGAAATTTAAGGGCATCAACGAGACGTTTGTGAAACTTTGCATGAGTCCTTTCGTCAAATGGGTCTGCGTGACAATAAACCATACTGCAAACTGGGCACTGGGTCGCTCCAAACTTTTTCTGACCAGCATCCTAGGGAAGAAAAAAGTCATATTAATGCATGTGGTTGAGTGGTAGTTCAAACTGTCCACAATGCATCAGAATGATAAAAGGAATATTTTTACAAAGAACTGAACAGGACAAAAGTTTTGGGAATTTTTAATCGAATGAAAAAACACATTTCTGTACTGATTTTACTGAAAAATTATTTAAAGTCATAAAGTATGATAAAGTGTAAATTTTCAGTTACAACGGACTCTCAAGCTAAAGAAATAACGCAATTTTGATGGCCATTTTCTCCCTAATTTTTCCTTTGAATCAAAGTGACCCCCACCTTCAATCGCCAATATCTTGACTTGTATCTAAGATAAATGAATATTTTTTCCTTCGAAAGCAAGACAAATGGACAGATAACAATAACTCTGTATGCACCAAAATTGACGAGCGCCTGATTCCACTGCATCACAACACATAAAGCGCAAAAGACATTCGATGATTAATAACATAAGCATATAGTTTAGTTTAAGGAGTTTAAAAATAATACTGCTGCGACACAAAAACATTCCTGGGTTCTTGATGACATGGCAAGGCAAGAAAGTGGGGTTGACACCTGTTTAATTTAAGCACAGGAAATCGAAGAAGTGAAACTTCAAACAGGACAATGTAGTGGAGAGAAGAATTTTCAACAGACCAATGCACCATTGGACTTGAGGGCTGAATACAATATCAGCAAAGCCCCAAGAACAGCCTTTTTAGAAAAGCTTCACTCTCTCAATAAAAGGAACTGGGGTATCAAATTATAAAAGAATGGACCTTGATTTACTGTTAGATCTTAAGAGACGCACTTCAATTAGTTCAGTACATTAAGTCATTTAGGGTTGGAAAGAGAAAAGGATGAAACAGAAAAGAAAGAGGAATAGAGAAGGCAGATATGAAAGTAGTTTGACAGCGCCACTTTCTAATTATCTGACGGTTGTGACAGAAAAACATGAAAACACAACATATTAGTTTTAGTTTTAGTAGAGGTTTTATGGCGCTCGCAACTGCATAAGGTCATATGTGCGCCAGAAGATTAGAGGTATTACAAGAGAGTAACAAACATATAAAAGAAGAAGGGAAGATAAGGACGATAGATGTTTGACAGGAAAGAAGGAGCAAACCACACCAGAGCACCCGCCAACCACCCACAAACACAACATATGAAAGGGCACCCACATCCTATAAATATTCCCAATACTTTTGATCATCTCGCTTCATGCATTAACAAAGCAACTGCAGCAAATAAGCGTCTTTTCCATCAAGCGGAAGCAAACAAACCCAGGAGCTACAGGACCGAACAACAGTAACTGGCAACATTTACATTTATGGTCAATACTTGAAAAAAACATAGAAGTGACTGAACAACAAAGAAAATTCATTAAAAAAATATCTGTGTAATAGTAATTACCAAAATCATCTGTGATGGATTTTCCTTGACAGACTTAGGAGTGGTAGGAGAGAGCTTGTCAGTGAGAGGACTTCCTCTGTGGAGAAAACAGTATATACAAGTTAACTTGATGAGTTGTAAGTTAAACAGTCAGTATGACAATGGCCGCACACTGAAAGGAACAGACTAAAAATAATGGTAAGTAATACTGAAAAGAAAAGGCAATACTAGAGCACTCAAAAACAACAAAGACACAAAATTATCCCCCGCCAAAGCAATAGGAAACAGATTCCATTACAATCAACTGTGAGAGCAACTAAACTATTATTTTCAATATTCTCAAGAATCACCCAGGCCAAACCATAGTTCCTCTGATATCAGCTAACATGTTAACAGCACATTGTAAAACTAAGGAAAGAAAATAATGCTCTAGGCAGGTTACCCCCCCCCCTCCAAAAAACACTACCATCACAAAACATTACTATTCATTACAATCAGAGTAGGAATGACAATTTCTACCATAAAGTAAGTCGTATTTCAAGAAAAGAAAACACCTAGGTTAGCTATGAAGAGGGAAGGAAAAAGCTGTAAGGAGTGAAGGGAGGATAATTTAGCAGCATGACTATAAAAATACTAAACGGTTATTAACCCCACAGGTTTGCATTTTTAAAAAAATGTGCCCCGGTTGTACTCTTACTTTGGAGTTGCTTTTCCTTGCTGTACTCCTTTGCTGAAGATTGGGAAAAGTTTTCTTGAACTTGAAGATTTCCCAACATTTTCATCATGGGTAGCACCTTTCACCTCTCCACTAACGTTGGAATTGCTGTCCTCAGTTGAAAACAACTCTTCTGAGCCATGATAGACAGGTGTTCCCCGACAACTGGGTGGACTAGATCTTCCTTCTTCCAACAAATCAGCATTCTCCGAAAGAGAACTCGGCGAATCCAACTTTAACCCACATGTGCTTTTGATCACTGGAGAACAGTCGTATGTCCTGCTCCCTTCCTTATTGAACACTAGGTCCTCTGCAGGATCTTCATGACAACTGTCTGAGATATTTCCCTCATCACATGCTGAATCCATTGACTTTTTTGGGGACAGAAAACCAGGGGCAAAGGTAAACCCTGTCTGTGTGGACATTTGCAGAGGACTTGAAGAATTCAACCCATTTCCTTTTTTGCCTTGCACCTGACTGTTTTTCTGCAACTGCTTCTTTTTCAATTCAGATTTTTTCTTTGTCAGCCTCACATTTTGAGGTTTAGAACTGAATTTAAGACTAAATCCTTTGCCAAACATTATATTTCTCACTTTTATATTATCAAGGGGAGACCTAGTTTTGAAAAATTTCCTCTCAGAACTTGAAGGGGCATCAGCTTTTTCCAATTTAGAAGCAGGAGTAGATGCAAGCTTCCCCTCATCAACCTTGGCAAGCTTCTTTGGGGAATCCACGTCTTCTTCAGATGAATCCAGCCAGTTTTCATTGTCCTCATCAGATTCCTCACCCAATTTCTCATTGATTTCATCATCTCTTAATGATCTTTTCAACATGCTCCGTGGAGTAGGCTCCACAATCTCATCAGAGTCCAAACCTCCATTCTGGACCTTGAAGCTTATTTCGTCATCCGACATATCATCGTAGTTTTCCTCATCATCGTCTTGGCGGGTAATGATTTTAGACACTCTCCTGGTTCGGGGTTTACTTTCCAGCTCGACTTCTCTCTCCACAGCTTCAAATTCTCCCCTGTACATTCTTCTGAACTGTTCCACTGAGCAGGTCTCCAGGACTGCCTGCTTCATGGGGGACTGGGCAATTCTTTCCAACATTTTCTCATGAACCCGGGAGTCAGGGCTGAAAGTCTTGTTGCCACTCATGGTGAATTTGCATGGGGAGCTGCGATTCTCCTCATCAATGGCCGTGAAAGGCTTGCTTTTGGGCGTACGCCTTTGACTGTTCTGTTTGACATTGCTGATTTTGCTCTTATCAAGTCCATAAAAACATTTGGTTGCAAAGACAGGGGAGCTTTCCACTCCCTCTACACAAAAATCCTTTACTGGAGAAGACTGTAAGCTTCTGTTATTCTCAGAAACAGACATTTTCACTTTCTTAGGCGTCGAATCTGGTGACCTGGAAAGAAAAAAATATTTGAACAAAATTAAAATGTGTACATGATTTGTAATTCTCCATTATAAAACAGTCCCACCTCTTAACAGCTTTATTTTTTATTTCACAGAACGGTTTTGCTGCAAAATTAATGCACGACACACATGAAATTCTAGACTTGACCCTAGCCTCTATTTGAAAACTGCTAAAAAATGGTTTTAAAGGTGGGTGGTAGGTGGTAACAAAGATTAATAGAAAATGCAGGCTTGACAAAAAATATTTTCAAAGAAGGAAAGAACTTCTTTAACAAACGACCACCCCAACAAACACAATAAAGAAGAGACCTAACCCTTGCCCAAACCTACCCCTCTTCTATTTTATAGCAGTCGCTCATTACTGTAGAATCCCTCCTGAAATAGAGCAAGGTCTAGCAAAGCAGAGTTATATATGTGTACTTCGCGTGTCAGGTCTGGAGCACACATTTGACGATCATGGTACTCAGGTACCCCATTCCTTCCTGATCAGCTCAGTTTTTCTCTTTGTGCTTAGATTTCTTACAAAGTTGTTCAGGCCATCTGTACGTGTTGTTCTTTGTTTTCCTCTCTGCTCTTTCTTTCCCTCTATCTTTTCGCAGAGCAGCGGTTTCATCAGTCCATTTGATCTATTTATGTGGTCAAACCAAAAATCTCAATTGTATTTTCCTGACGGTTCTGATTATTGATCTTCCACAATCTGCCATTTAGACCATTTCGTTGAGTGTACCATGGTACACAAAAAAATAAAACCTTACCTATTTTTGAGAGGTGTTTCTCGCAGCTTCCGTTTGCCCATTCTTGTTTTTTCAGTAGTCATGGCTAAGCATGAATTGAACGAAAAGCTGGAACATCCGACCTGAAATGGAATTTCATATTCAAATGTCACTAATTTTAAAAAGACAAGAACTGAATAAAGTTACAGACTGGGAAATGACAACAGTTTGAACACTTTCCACCCACACAGCATGCTGAACTGTTTGGAACTATAGCATTTCTTTATAATATAAATATTTACTGCGGACATTTTTTGGACCGATTGAACCATATTGTACACGAACAATCTTTGGTAGGCCTATACTAAAATTATAGATCTATATAATATCCGAAATTTGCGGGAAAGGATGTGATTTCAGAGTGTTCGGAGAAATAGTGCCTAGCTTTATTTTCCTGAAGGCCACCTCTATTCTCACCCGGAGTGAGAATAGTGCAGGCGAGTCTTGTGGCTATTCTCACCCGGTGCGCGTTCACCCTAAACCATAGAATTCTACACTGTGAGGAAAAATTGCAGAATTCTGTGCCGTGAACAAACGTTCCATTACAACTGTAGCCTACTAAAAGCTTACAATTTTGTCTGTGGGCAGTGGAGAGAGAGAGAGAGAAAGAGAGGAGTAGCGCGAGAATTTCCGGGCAAAACAAAATGGCGACCCGCGTAGTTCGGCTCGATTCGAAAAGTTAAATAGCCGTAGCATCTTTGTAGACAACCAAATTAATTTACTTTTGTGTTTTAACATCATTTTTTAAACTTTGTGTTGGTCAAATTGATCGTCCACACCGATAGACAGTATTCAGAAAGAGACAGAGAGAGAAAGAAGAGGGGAGGAGTTGATCTTGCGAGAACTTCCGGGCGGGTGAGAATAGCCACTTTCTTTCCTGAACGTTCGGAGAAATAGTGCCGGCCATCTTTAATTGCTTCTGATGACATCTTGACAAATAAACATTTATTAGAAGCGCTATAACTTTTCAGGCCGGCCTCAAATTCATTATTTAATAAGATAAAAACTCGGCTCCTGCACAATTTAACGCCATTTTGCCCGAAGTGACCCGGTCTCTACCCAGCCTGAGGCGAGTCACGAGTGAGGCAGGACAGGAAGCCGGAGTCACGAGTCACAGGAAGTCAGCAGTGATGTCATGCTGGACAAGAATCAGAGTCCGAATAACATTTTTTCATATTCGGACTTGAGTCCGAATAGTCACTTCGTTGCTGATAAGATATATATGCATCTGGGCAAGAACGCAGAATAAGAGTTAAGTAGGCCTAGTGCTGCCTAGAATCTACTCCGTGGGGGGTTCCCAGGGAAGCTTGCCCCCTGATAGTGGGGAGGTATTAAGGGTTAATGAGGGGGGGGTTGCCTCACTGTTAAAAATAATAATTTTAAAAAATACACAATCTTCACATTTTTACATGGCAAATTATCAGTATCAGAATGGCATCCAATGGAACGGGAAGGCTACCTTTCAAAGAGCGCCCAAAATACAAAAATACTGCAGTGTGACCACCCTCACAGACAGTCACAGTTAGGTAGCCTGTTGTAGGCCTAGTCAAAGTCAAAGTTCAAAGCAGCGCATCTGTCTGCCGGAGTGAAAGTAAAAGGATGTGGCTATTCTCACCCGGGGTGAGAATAGAAATACGATCTACCTCTCACCCCGGGTGAGACTTGCCAGCGTAGGCTATTCTCACCCGGTGTGAAACAAGACCTGTTTTTCCTCATTTTGGGATACTGTCTATCGGTGTGGATGATCAAATTGATAAAAGTCAAGAAAAAATTACATTTACATTATTATAGCACAAAAGTAGGCTAAGCTAATTTGATCGTCTTCAAAGATGCTATGGCTATTTCACTTTTCGAATCGAGCCGAACTACGCGGGTCGCCATTTTGTTTTGCCCGGAAGTTCTCGCAAGATCTACTCCTCCCCCTTCTCTCTCTCTCTTTCTGAATACTGTCTATCGGTGTGGATGATCAAATTGACCAAAACAAAGTTAAATGATTTTAAACAAGAAAACTAAATTAATTTGGTTGTCTACAAAGATGCTACAGCTATTTAACTTTCCGCATCGAGCCAAACTCATAGTGTAGAATTCTGTGGTTCAGGGTGAACGCTTCACTGGTTGGCCTAGGCTATAACGGTGAACGGCCACCGGGTGAGAATAGCCAAAAGACTCGCCTGCGCTATTCTCACCCAGGGTGAGAATAGAGGTGGCCAAAGTAAAAGTTTACGGCGATTGTTAAGATTTCCGCGTTTAATTCCGATGTGCGTTTTTCATACCCTCAGGCATATTTCGCTTGGCCACCTCTATTTTCACCCGGAGTGAGAATAGTGCAGGCGAGTCTTGTGGCTATTCTCACCCGCTGCGCGTTCACCCTAAACCACAGAATTCTACACTGTGATAACAGAAAAATTGTAGAATTCTGTGCCGTGAACAAACGTTCCATTACAACTGTAGCCTACTAAAAGCGTACAATTTTGTCGGTGGGCAGTGGAGAGAGAGAGAGAAAGAGAGAGGAGTAGCGCGAGAATTTCCGGGCAAAACAAAATGGCGACCCGCGTAGTTCGGCTCGATTCGAAAAGTTAAATAGCCGTAGCATGTAGACAACCAAATTAATTTACTTTTGTGTTTTAACATCATTTTTTAACTTTGTTTTGGTCATTTTGATCGTCCACACCGATAGACAGTATTCAGAAAGAGACAGAGAGAGAGAGAAGAGGGGAGGAGTTGATCTTGCGAGAACTTCCGGGCGGGTGAGAATAGCCACTTTCATTTCGCTTTGGTCCCTAACCCTATGTTAGGGTTAGGGTAGGATTAGGGTTAGGGTTAGGGCCAGGGTTAGGGTTAGGGTTAAGGTTAGGGACCAAGCCAAAGCGAAATATGCCTGAGGTATGAAAAACGCACATCGGAATTAAACGCGGGAATCTTAACAATCGCCAAGTTTACCGATGTTTGTGTGAAGTTTTTTAGATCTTAGTCTAGATATATCTAGATTCTAGATTGGGAAGATTGAAGAATACCGGACCACTCGTACATTATTGCGCAAGAAAGTGGGGTAGGTGGGGCGGGTGGTTGGGGTGGAGGAGGGGGGAGGGGGGGTTCAGGGGGGTCTCCCCCCTGACAAAATTATAGACCTACCGGTCCGAGATTCTCCATTGAGAGAGATATTAAAAACGGGAAAATTATCAATTGAGACATAGGCAAAGTCAGTCCGCTGGTCCGGTATTCTTCAATATTACCTGTAGATTTGCTACCAGATTACCTGAAATCATATAATCGTCTCGAGAATCAGGTTAACGACCCTAATCCAACTTCGCCATTGTCACTGCTGATTTTGCGGGATTTGCAGAGCGCGCCATTCGACGGAAGTTGTCGCGAAGTCGCGAAGCACGGGAAGCTTCAGTTAACTGCACTGCCATTGGGCAAAACTACCAAATATCTGCCAATAGCAAACCCTATTGGTTTCACTCGCGGGAAGAATTAGGCTACACGGTTTGACGCTCCTGGCCGAAAATTACCGCTGGTCACGTTTTTTAGTTTTCCAGTACTAAAATTAATTGTTTTTCTAGAAAAGGTTTAGTTTAAGGTCCAATAGAAAGAAAGGCGTCATCCTGTCTGCCTTAAACCCTTATAAAGATGTTTTTTTTTGTCCCGTGTCGTGATTTTGGTGCCGATATTATTATTTGTAGGTTACGTAAAAATGTTTTGACATGGTACGTGCAGATTGTACGTTTGAAGAAAAAAGATTAAACAAGAAAAAATACAACAAGAAAAAGAGGAATTGTTTAGTCAGTGATGATGATGATGATGATGGTGGTGGTGGTGGTGGTGGTAATGATGACAATTTAATATGTTGAAAATAATGGTGCAATCCTCCACAGAATTACAGGGTCGCAATTCTTAAAGTAATGCTAGCAAATTCATCATACACACACACACACACACACACACACACACACACACACACACACACACACAAAAGCATATCACAGTATTGAAGGACCAGACGCGAAAAATGCTGCCAGCGTTAATAGGATAAGATAAATAGGATAAGATAAGATAAGATAAAATAATACTTTATTATCCCAGGGGAAAATTTTTCTTGGCTGTAGGACTGTAGAAACACCTGCAGGTACATAATATACATTTAAAAAATCTGAATCATATATTACACAACCTTGGGGCGCACCGGTGTTCGTGAATATTAGGTAGGATTTTCCACCATTAATTTTACATATTGAGGTCGATTGGTTAGTAGATGTTATCAAAGAAAACGAGAATGGCAAATAATTAAATTACGTAGGCTAAACATACACACACAGTCTTCCACTGAAGCTCGCTTTCATGCGGGGACGAGTGGCATCACAAGTGGCATACGGAGACTTGGAAGCCGTACCTTTAGCTCTTAGCCAAGGAGGTTATTTAAGGTCCTTGCTCTTTAGCCCTCTTAAATGTCTGAACTACTTTCACTCTTATAATGTAATTTCTAATATATTTTCTTTCTTTCCCATACTGACATTTAAACACTGATAATTTTCCGATTGCAATAGCTGCAATCATTATCCCCCATTCCCGGTGATCTACGCTGATTCCTTTCACTGCCTCAGGTAAAACAATTTTCCCATTAATTACAATTAATTTTGGTGTAGGCTACCAATTTAAAGTGGACCCGTAAAATCTTTTTCAATTTCCCTCCAAAGTGGCTGGACCTTCTTACAGTACAGATATTTTTTTTAAATGTTCAATAAAATAAGGCTCATCACAATATTCGAAGTTTTCAGATTCCTTTAATTTCATTTTGGTGATATCTAATTTTTTTTTTTAACCTTCTTGTCCGTCTAAAGGCTATATATAAGCGCTGCGGATCTTTCATGGGTTGAGAAATCAGAAAGTAGATCTAGCCTAGATGAAAAAAGAAAAAGGATGCACAATATGTCCAACATCACCCCGGTGTGTCATTTTTGTTTAATTGTTTTCTTGTACAATGTTTGTCAATAAACAGTTTTGTCGAAAAATGTTAGGCTAGGCAAAATATACCACACAATTTATTATGGATAAAACAGATCGAGGGAAGGAAAATGGTTATCTTTCCGAAAACACCCGAAGAACTAGGGAAATGTAACTCTTAGCGAGCAAATGTTTAAAAACGAAGAGAATAGTCTCCCTTGTTTCAATTTCGGCTTCAGCTGTGTTTTCCTCAACACGTGAAACAGAACGAAATGGTACATACATGAAAGGTAAACAATGTTATCAAGTTAACAACAATCGCTTCTTAATAAGTATCTGAAAAGTAGATTATTGTATTCCTCCACGTTTACAACATTGTAATATGATTTGTATGAGCTTACCTTTTGAATGCTCAAAATGTTTGCTTCTGTCTTTGTCAACGTGCTTCAAAACAAGTTGATCACAAGTGGTAGATCTAGGATCTAGATCTAGATCTAATCTAGATCTAGATCTAGATCTAGATCTAGATTCTAGATCTAGATCTAGATCTAGATCTAGAATCTAGATCTAGATCTATAATCTAGATCTAAATCTAGATGTAGATCTAGTGTGGCACTATCAAACTTAAACAGTCGTAAAGAAGCTTGACTTTCGATTAAGCGTTTAAGCCTAAGGCTTAGCCTAAGGCCTAAGGCGTTCAACAATTAAAGAACAAATAATAATACGAAAGAAAAACACTAAGTTTAATTTAAGAATTTACATAGACAAACAAGAAGGGGCGCTTTTTCGGTAGTTCCCACCCCGCAATTTTATTAACGGGTTTGGGCCACAAGAGTAGGGGGGTTTCAGGGGGGCTTGCCCCCCTGACCTAAAAAAAAATAGGAAGGGGGGTTTCATACCATAATTTAATATTTTGCAGTTGTTAGGTTTGATATCTTAGCTCACCGCGAATCAAACGTATAGATCTAGATCTAGATGTAGGTCAGGCTCAAATAAGGGGGGTGGGAACTACCGAAAAAGCACCCAAGAAGGCAGTCAGGCAGGCCTCTGTGAAAATTTATACAAGTCAACTTAACTTACTTGAAATACACTTGATGCTGGCGCCTTAGCTCAGACCAAGCCGCTGCCTGCCAGCCTTTTTTAACCTTTTTCAAAATCCAGTTACTCTGTAGAGATGTTGAGCTTTACAGTACAGAACAGAAAAAATTTTGACTCGTGTCCAAATGTGAATGTAGATCTAGTCTGCAGGCTACGTTCACGGCGCCCTGAACGTAGATGGCAGGCTATGTTCACCGCGCCCTGAAAGCAGTTTACAGGCGCTGTTGTGGCTACGTTCACATTTTCTTTCTGCGTCGGTTCCCAGGCTGACCCGGTGCAATACAGTCAGTATTGTACACATTTTATGATCAGTCCCATCTTCTGAATCCCACCTTCTGTTTCCCAACTGTCATGACTTTAATTCTGTAAGGGCGCTTCGTTTTCCTTCATCTCACGGGATGGAACACTTGAAGCAGGCCTAAATATGAAATTACCTCGCTGTCGCCACTGACTGAAACTGAAACCGGCTGACTTAAACAGGCAGTGGACGCTCCGTCTAAACGAAGCTTTAGTGCCGTGAATGTAGCCTCAACAGCGCCCGCAAACTGCATTCATGGTGCTGTGAACGTAGCCACTGCGTATTTTGTTCATGTTTTACAGCTCATCAAATGAAAAAGGGAGTGTATACAGACCTGGTAACAGGGAACAAAGTCACAAAGTATACAGACCCAGTAGGCAGGGCTTCCAGTCTTCCGCAATTTTGCGGATTTCCGCAAATTAGTAGATTTCCGCAAATGGAAAAATTGTCAGTGAAAATTCGTGCCCCCAAAAAATAAAATTTTTTTTGTTTCAAAAATGCGAAATAAAATTTTTCCGTTATTACCAATAGTCAACAATAGCCAACCCATACCGGAAGTGCTCTTTAACTTTATTTGAAAGTGTAGACAGTGTCTTCTGCTTTCACTTTCTAAAGCACAAGAAGCACAGCACCAGCTCTGTAAACAAGAGGAAGAAATGACGATTGTGGTTCAATAGATCTTGGGCCTGCCAAGAAAAGAAAACTCTAAAGAGAGCTTGATTTTTTTTACCAGACTTGTTTATTTGTAAGTATTGTTGTGGATTTAAGTTGAATATAAGCTGTCAAGTTTTATTTAGATCTAGACTAGAATCTAGAGATCAAGTCAAGCTGTTACATATAAAAAGCTATTATTGTAAGAATTCTACACCTTATGCTGATTATGGTGCAAACCAACACAAGCAGAAAAAAGTTGAACATTAACTGTCAAGTTTTATAGATCTAGTTGTGGATGTACATTATCGGTACAAGGGAGAAAGCATGGCTTTGGATTTGGAAATATATGGATTAACACAAGCAGAAAATTATGTAGGCCTATACAAGGTATGTTTTTTTCTCTCAGTTGTTTTCTAGTTAGATTTAGGCTTGAATAGCCAAAAATGGCATACTTAGGATGTTCTGAAACCAAAAATTGTTGTCCCCTTTCAACCCCCTGCCAGGGCTCCGCCCTGGACCCGAAAACCCTCGAAGAATGACATCAGCCGCTGGAAGCTCTGAGTAGGGGAAATCTTTTGTGATTTCGGAAAGTTTCCGCGCCCTTTTGGCTCAGGGTAGACTTAGCTAGATCTATGGCCTGGGTCTAGATCTAGACAGACAGGCATAAATCATAGATCTAGTTTTGAGGCTTAGGTCTAAATGAAGATTACGGATGTCTTTTCGATGTACGCTCGTTTTTCCTACGTTTTGGAGTTGGAATCAATAAGACAATTTGAAGAAAAGAACAATGTCATAATATTCAATCGAGCAGTCACCCTCTCTATTTCTCTGTCTCTCTCCCCTCTT